ACCACCTGAGGTGCTAGTCTCAGGTCTTGCCTACACAGACTTCAGTTCAGTAGCTCTGAGATGGGAGACAGCCACGGGATTGTTAGGATTAAATGAGACGTCTGTGAAATGTTTGGCACATGCCTGGCCCATGTCAGCTATTAAAATCCATAAATACTATTTCTATTTGGGTGGACCCAACAGTGAGGAGCAACTTTCTTTGGGAAACTTAACCTCCTTTGGCATCACTGAAAATCAGATAGAAATAAAAATCAGGAGGCCTCATCGTAAGTTCAATCTTTCACCTCTGTTTTGAGATACAAAAAGGAATTTTTTTTCTCTTTCCTTTATTTCTATCACTATAGAAATTTGGAAAAATATATTTACCTATTCCCCATTTTTTGGTAAAATGTTTTAAAATCTTTATTGAAGTACAGTTGTACAATATAAGTTATAGATGTACAATATAGTGATTCACAATTTTTAAAGGTTATAGTCTACTTATAGTTATTATAAAATATTGGCTATATTCCCCACGTTGTACAATATATCCTTGTAGCTTATTTTGTACCTAATAGTTTGTATCTCTTAATACAAATACCCTGATATTGCCCCTTCCCCCTTCCCTCTTCCCACCGGTAACCACTAGCTTGTTCACGTTATACTGCATATATATCACTTGTATTTGGAATCTAAAAAGTACAACAAACTAGTGAATATAACAAAAAAGAAGCAGGCTCACAAAAAGGAATTCTTATACTTTTAAGAATACTTTGTAAGTGGACAGATTTCATACTTCCTAGCTGCTCTATCAAGTTACAATGTGCAGATTATAAAATGGTGTCAGTAACACAACAAATCTAAAAATCTGTTGATGAAAAACCTGTGAAGGAGAAGGTGTGAGGTTGTTTAGTGCAGCTCACAGCACATTGTAGAGTTATTTTGGGCAATGAAGTAAATGACTGCCTGAAACTGAAGCATGCTGGAAATTAATGTTCAGTGGAATCAGCAGGAAAATGTCTTTCCTTGGCAAACTGATGCTTTCAACTGTTTACTTCCAGTACAAAAGTGTTTAGTGTTTGTTAAATAGCAACACAGTCAAAACTTGCCTGAAATCATGTTTTTAATGGATACTCTGAGGGTCTACAAACATTCATGGGTTAAACCTGTGATACCATGCAATAACTGATATAGAAAGTTCCACAACTAAAGCATGTGGGCAATGTCTTGCATTTTGTTTTAATTGAATTCTTCTATAGTTAAGTGACCAAAATCAGCCCTGGTTTTATTTTCAGCTAAAGGTATCCTTCACAGATGGAAAACTGCCCAGACTGCATGAAGTATGACATGACTAGACGCTTGCTTGATATATCCCCAGTGCCCGGCACATAGTAGGTCCTAATTTGTTTTGAATAAATATGGAAGGTCTAACACCCTGAAGAGTCAAAGAAGGCAAAGCAGTTCTATGACAATTTGCCAGACTCCCAGATAACTGTAAATTCAAAACACACATGATAAGCACTGATGAAATCCTGGAACCTCTTGGTAGCCGGCTTGTAGAGAATATACTGCCTTCTCCAGAGGGCGAAAGTGCTGGTAAGTCTGACCTTCATTACAGCAAGAGACTGGCCCCTGGTGGTGATGAAGTGGATGGAATCACCATTCTGAGACAGAACCATATATGCTGCTATCTCCCATTTCCACATTTTTCAGACCTCACTACTTGGGGGAGAATGTTAATTTTTATTTTAATCATAGGAAATATCCCCTACCTCAAAGGATAACACACACACCGACTTTTTTTCTTTTAAACCTAAGCCAACTTTTCTGGAATGAATGTATTCCTTGTATCATAAAAAAATTCCTTACAATAAAACTTTTCCAAATCCTGTAGGATCAGCATAGTACTGGACACATTACATAGCCTTCAATAAACGTATGAAATAAAAATTTAAACTTAAAGAAGGGAATAATAATGTAGCAAAGTATCCTCATTAACATAGATTCAGATTTCTTCATTAAAATATTGTTTCAAATTGAGTAAACTTTCAAATGACGCACAAGTGCACATACTTTCATGATCTTTAAATTTAAAAATCTAACTTTTAAATAAAAATCAAGAGTGCCTAGAAAAAAATTTTACTTAGAAATTTACCTTAGAAAAAAATTTTGCTTGAAAAAAATTTTCCTGGTAAAAGAGCCCCGCCTCTACCAGCAAAGGGTCCTTTCTTACACAATGAGAATTTGTTTCTGACCTGTTAACTGTCAATAAAAACTTGAGCTAAAGCTCTCTCAAGCCTAGTGAACACATCTGGCATGGAGTTGAACTTTCAGATAGCCTGTAAAAGATCACACGGAACAGCCACTTAATCCTTAGAAGAATTGTAATTCCATTTTCTTCAGTAAAAATGTTAAAAATAGTAATTGGAGTAAAAATACAGTGTTAATGCCAGTAAGGCACAAATTGCTACATAAAGGTGAACTGCACTGCCACATTTCAAGCCAAAAATCACTCTCAAATTCTGAGCTGGGTTCCTCTTAATTATAAATTTCAGAGATGAACTGTACAAAATCTAACCTAAGCAGGAGCATCTGATAATTTTCTCTCCCATGTCCATGTAAATTCTAATTCATATTTCTGAGCAGAAAAGCCAAAAACAATCTTATATATTAATCTTATATATAGTATATCTAGTATAGTATATACTGTGTGTGTGCGTGTGTGTGTATATAGAAATATCTAAGATTTTATTATGTATATATGAATTCTTAAAGCTTTTTGCAATCTACCATAAATCTAAAAAAACATATAGCATGGATCAATTATATATGAATATCAAGTAAAATTCATACAAGTTTCACTGGTAAACCTGTAACCTAACATGGCCACATAATGTATATTTTTCTGCATTTATTTGGCTCTTATCACTGGACTATTTCCTGTGGAGACAATCATCTTTCTGAGTGTGTCTGTTCTCTATCTTGACTATCAAGGGCAGAGATTCTGTCTTTTTATTAGCCTTATTTAGCACCATGAACATTCTGGGACAATAAACTTTGGATACAAACTACTCAGACTATCTGGGTCTTAACTGATACCTTAAGTCCTAGTGGATAGGAGGGTAAATCCATGAAGGGAGACCATCATATATACCAAATGACTTGCTGTTGGGTGTTATCCAGAAACCAACCTGTTGGATTTTAAAGATTGGAGATTGACTTTCTCTCTCAGGGAGAAACTGGTTGCCCTATTGAATGCAAAATTTCCCTAAAGCTTCAAACTCCTCTTTGGATTCTGTTTTGGGATTTTATTAACACAAAGAAAACAACCAAATTTATGATTTGGTACAGGGGATATTAGGATAAAATAATAGAGAAGACACAGGAGATCAGTCTTTGGTGGTTTTAATATACAGGCTCTAGCTCTCTGACAAGGCAATTAAGAAAAAAGTAAAAGCACTTAAGATTTCATTCTCCTTGGAAAGGAAAGAAAAGGCTTAAGTAATGGTAAAGAGGTTTGTAAGTGTGGGATACCAGGCTCATGCCTGTTTATATATGGACACTAGCTACAATTGAGAAAGGAGAAGTTCTGGAACTCTATAATACATCACTGTAGAACATACTGTTCTGCATCTGTTTAAATTTGGTTCAGTTTTAAAACTAGTTAAAATGCTCTCTCTTCAGCTGACTTTTTACTAATTTGTTTTCCAACATAAGAGATATAGAGGGGTGAGTTTAAAAATACACTGAACAGGGCTTCCCTGGTGGTGCAGTGGTTGGGGGTCCGCCTGCCGATGCAGGGGACCCGGGTTCGTGCCCCGGTCCGGGAAGATCCCACATGCTGCGGAGTGGCTGGGTCCGTGAGCCATGGCCGCTGAGCCTGTGCGTCCGGAGCCTGTGCTCCGCAACGGGAGAGGCCACAGCAGTGAGAGGCCCGCGTACCGCAAAAAAAAAAAAAAAAATACACTGAACAATATTTTATGAGTAGATGTCTACAATATGGCATCAGAACTACCAATGTTGCTTTAAGTACAGCAAAATTCCAAACTCTAAAATTTTCATTTTTCTTCTTGAACAAATTTTGATATGCCTTTGTTCTTTCACAAAACTCTGGTATGCTACATATTAAACATGTTCCAATCTTGATGAGTATTAAACATTTTATTTAAAGATTTGAAAGTAAAAAAAAAAAGGTACACAAATACAGATCACATTATACCAAGGCAGTATTCTACATGACAAAAATCAAAACAAAACAAAATTTTAAAAGTAAATGTACAGGTACCAAACAAGCATAATACCTGATATGCATTTCAGGTTGCATACACATAGAATGATCTGACCACATACATGCTTATACAAAATAAATTTTTTCTTAGAACACCAAAATTCCAACCATTCTGTCAACTGCCTTAGTCCCCTGGTGAGTAATCTGAAACAACTTCTATGTAATATAAAAAGAATTGGCATGGCACATAAGGACTACAAAAAGCAGAATACAATTTAAAACATATTTGTAATTCAATTCTGTATAAAATATACACAGTAAATCTTATTCGTTTTTTTTAAAAAAAATATTTAAAAAAAGGCCACCCTGAATAATGGTTAAAACCTCATCACAGAAAAATGTTTCATCATTTGTAACATTGATAGAAAACTGATGGATGTTTTTTTAGAAGATATCTAACTTGAAGAAGTCATTTACTCAAAACTTATTTAAAATTGTAGATAAGATAGTAACTGTGCACCCCTTCTCAAAATGTTTTATCATGAATAGTCTAATATGTAACTAAGGACAAACTAAAAGAAAAACTCAAAAAAATGTTTCTCAGGCTTCCCTGGTGGCGCAGTGGTTGAGAATCCACCTGCTGATGCAGGGGACACGGGTTCTGCCCCTGTCTGGGAGGATCCCACATGCCGCGGAGCGGCTGGTCCCGTGAGCCATGGCCGCTGGGCCTGCGCGTCCGGAGCCTGTGCTCCGCAACGGGAGAGGCCACAGCGGGGGGGGCCCCCAATCCGAAAAAAAAAAAAAAAAAAAGTTTCTCAAAATGAGATCCAAAGACCCAACAGAATTCTAAGGCAGGCCCAGTAATGTGCATATTAAACACACTTACTATGTGATTAGTCCACATTCTAAAACTTGAGAACGAATGCCCTAAGGGAAACAGTACCACTTAAAAGCAAGATGATAAACATATTTCTGATATGTCAAAAATTTCTATAAATTTATGATTTGAAGTGAATATTGCTTTTTGTTTTCAAACAAGTTTCAGGTCTTAAGAGAAACATACATACCTCTTAAATAAACATGTAAATTATATAAACATTTCCTTGGAGGTTTTCATTGCTTTCAGACATAGCTATTCAAAGAAAAGAGAGTACATGGCCAGAAACTTTGGAAAAATTACATTTCAAATGAAATGCAGCATCCTCGTGCCCCCCAAAAAGAGGTAATTTAATAAATGCCTACATATTTTAAATCATTCTAAATTTAAGACTAGATAGCTTTCCTAAAAGTTATATTTTACTAAGATTGGACAATTATAAGTAATTTAAATGATCATGGTTATTTTTTAAGTCCCTTTTCATAAAAAAAGTTAAAAATAAACAACAGAAGGATGCTATCATTGACATCCCTTTAAATAATAAATTGTTAAGCACTAATATTAATAAAAAATAATCTGAAGAACTCTGCCCCTGAAGTGTATTCTACTCTGATTACATGTGTTACCTACTTAACAAACGCTCACTTATGGAGCTGGAACTGTGATGAGTGTGAGTGTACGTGCATATCCTGAAGATTTATTCATGTTTACTTTATTATTTTTTCTTGCGTTTCATTGAAGACTCCACAAAAAGGATCCGAAAGTATGGATAATGTGGTTTGGGGAAGAAACAAGCATGGTTCAGACACTATTTGGAAGATAAATTATTTTCCTGTATACTGACTTATAAGGAAAAAATAATATACATTCTGTGTCCACTGGATAATGGAATGCTTTTACATTTGGTAGCAAGTGAATGCTTCCTTATTATTTAAGTCAAATCACAAAAAGCGACTGTGAGATTTACTGTCCAATAAGAAATAAATATTACCATTGCACTTTTCTGTACCTATTTTAAGTTTCTATTTTTTCCTTTTTATATACTGAGAAGTGTTCCATTTAACTGCATCCTGGGTTCTTTGAACTATATTTATTAACACTCCAGTTAAAGTTCCCACTACAGGGACAAGCTCAGACACTAACCCCGTAACATACTAAAGAAATCACTTGAATCAGTTTTTCAAAAACAGCTAATGATCTGGAATCTGATTCTTAATAAAATGTGCCTATTTTCCTCCTCAAGGAGAATCTGTATTCCCTCATTCTAAGCAAGCAACATCTTTTATTACCAATTTATAATTGTAGCCTTAAAAATCAATAATTTAATTTGCTAAAGCAATGATAAAGTTTACAGCTGAATTTTTAAACACATAGAACTCAGAAAGTAATAGGTAATATAACAAGTTGTATTTTACATTACTCTTTTATTCCAAAATTAAACACTTAAATGACTTCATGAGTATGACAAAAATCAGGGGAGGCTTATGATGTAATCCCACCATGTGCCTTAATGCAACAGATAATCTTTTTAGTCAGTACTTCCTTTAAACAAAAAAGACAACTTTGTTATTCATCAGTAGGTTGCTGGATTACCAGTGTAACTAAATTTTGACATGATTGTCTGCAAAGTAGTTTCATTTTTTCTCCATAGTTAAACTTAGATGTAATAATTGACTCTTACAGTCAACAATAGAATATACTGAGTGCTTTTCTTGCAGGTGAAAAATATAAAATGGTTCTTTGCATCCAGGCTGGTAACAAGTTTATCCATGCACTAAATGGCAACACAAGCAAAATGCATAGTTGAGAAAGGAGGATCAGACACATTCTTCTGCAGACATCAAAAGAGGATTAATGTACTCAAAACCTTCAAATTCAGACTGATCGATCTTCCTCACAATGTCACTGTTGAAAGAAAAATAATTTTCATCATCAAGATTTCTTTGATTTCTTGCTTAAATGGAAAAATAAGATTAAAAAATTAAAAATAAGGCTAATTTATATAAGTTATAGGGGGAAAATCTATAAGTTTTTAGATTAACCCCAAAACATTTTCTAGAAGAATCAGGAATATTGAAAATCAAAAGAGACTAATAATCCCACGAGCAAGTTTAGAACCAAAAAGTAGTCCAAAACTGAAGACTGGGAATAAACAAGGTACAAATTGTCATAATCCTAGGTAATCTTAACTTTTGACCTCAACGACATTCATAATTTAACATCCAGGTCTGTATTAGTGTGCAATTTAGTAGTCACCTCAACAGCCAGATGGAAGATGGTGAAGAGAAGGCCGAGAAGAAGTTAACCAAAATGAAAAGACAAGAGGAAGAAGAACACTGAAAGACCTGGAATGAGGAAGGGTCACCACAGGGAGGCAGTGGGTCACAGGGAGCAGAGAGGCTGGCATTCTGCTACACTGGGCTCCTAGTTTAATTCACAAGAGTATTTCAATCAAATATTTTACTACTTAAATGTTCGTACCGGGGCTTCCCTGGTGGCGCAGTGGTTGAGAGTCTGCCTGCCAATGCAGGGGACACAGGTTTGAGCCCTGGTCTGGGAGGATCCCACATGCCGCAGAGCAACTGGGCCCATGAGCCACAACTACTGAGCCTGCACGGCCGGAGCCTGTGCTCTGCAACGGGAGAGGCCGCGACAGTGAGAGGCCTGCGCACCACGATGAAGAGTGGCCCCCGCCTGCCGCAATTAGAGAAAGCCCTCGCACAGAAACGAAGACTCAACACAGCCATAAATAAATAAATAAACAAAATGACGGAGGAATTATGTTTAAAAAAAAAAAATGTTCGTACCATACTACAGAGCACCACGTTACACAGGACATAGTCTCTTCCTTCAAGAAGAGAAGGAAGGTAGGTACTTCACATAACAGAAAGCAGTACCTGCTAAGTTTCCTACACGACAAGCTAAGTTCTACTCTAACCACAGTTCTAAAGAAAAAGGTGACTTCTACTTGGAGAAATCAAGAAAGGCAGCATCATTCCACACTTACTGAATGGAATTATGAAAGATTATGGTAGGTCTGGGGAATGCCAGTAATTTATTAGAGCTAGAGCACAGGAATAGAAGGGTGTTAAGTGGCAGAGGACGTTGGAAGGAAGGTAGTGGCTAGCTCAAAGACGCCAGTGATGTTTACACTAAGTAGGTCCACCTTGATCCATCAAAGGTCTGGTTACATCTGAGGTAGCTCTGAAAGATGGGGAAGATTTCAATAGGTGAAAAGGAAGGAGCAATAGAGAGGAAATGTTAACAGCATGCTATCAGGGAATGGTGAGTAACTGAGCCTGATGAGAACGCAGCGTTTCTGTTAGAGTACAGTGAGAGATATGGCTAGAAAGTCAGGCTGAAGTAGATGGTGGGAGGCCTTAATTACTAACCAAGGGGACAGACTTTTTCTGCTAGGCAATGTAGGAGTTACTGAAGGTTTCTGATGAAAGGAGTTAAAGAACTGGAGTGGTACTTCCTGAGTGTACCGAATAGGCTGCAAAGTAAAGAAGGAGTCAATTAGGATGGCATGATATTCTACGTATGATCTGAGAGAGCTGGGCTGGGCTTACGGCAGTGGGAATGGAAACGACACAAGTGATGAAGTAAAGCAAAAAGAGACGAGGACTTGGCTGCTGAAGGTATTATATAGTTTGGTAAGGAAAAGTTAGAGTCAACAACCACTGACTCAGCTCTTGAATCCGAATGCAGGACTGCACGGTGGTACAACAAGCAGAAAAGGGTAAATAAAAACAAGAACCCGAGTGAGAACAATTTAGACTTCGTATGTTTGAGGTGCGTATCTGACAAACTAGGAGAGATGTTTAAACTAGTAGAGGGAAATGCAGCTCAGGAGAGATATCAGGGCAGGGGCTAGGAGCTTCAGAAACCACCGCTCATTTATTCTTCACAGCACCTTGGGAGGTAGGCAATATGAGAAGACACAGGCTCAGTGAAGTTATGCAATTCACACCAGGGTACCCAGCTGGTAAGAGGTGGCGCTGGGATTCAAATTCCTATCTTTTGGTTAAATCCAGTGCTCTTTCTAATACACAGTGCTGCCAGAAATAATGATTTGGGTACACCTCTCCCTCCTCTAGTAGCCAGTAAGCTTTCGGAGAGATTGGCCTATGCCCTGATCGTCTTTGAATGTGCAGTACTTAGCATAGTGCCTTTTGCTCAAGAATTGTTTGCCAATTTAGCTGGGAGTCATTTAATAGCTCGTATCCATGCTACGAGGTTGGCTGAAAACTCCAAGGTACAAACTGCATATAGCAAAGAGAAAGCAGTCATGAACAGAACCACGGAGCACCCTAGTCTCAAGGGGACAGGGAAAATAAGATGACAAGTGGTTAAAGAGATGACGCAGAAAGAGGGTAGGCAGTGCCAACTAAAGCAGGCCATGAGTGCCAGACGCTTTACTGACATCGGAGGAGATGGGGGTAGATCAAAAAATGCTTTAGGGCTTCCCTGGTGGCGCAGCGGATGAGAATCTGCCTGCCAATGCAGGGACACGGGTTCGGGCCCTGGTCTGGGAAGATCCCACATGCCACGGAGCAACTAAGCCCGTGAGCCACAACTACTGAGCCTGCGCGTCTGGAGTTTGTGCTCCGCAACAAGAGAGGCCACGACAGTGAGAGGCCTGTGCACCATGATGAAGAGTGGCCCCCGCTCGCCGCAACTACAGAAAGCCCTCACACACAAACGAAGACCCAACACAGACAAAAATAAAATAAATAAATGAATAAAAATTTAAAAAGCTAAAAAAAAAAAAAGCTTTAAAATTGAGAAATTAAGAAGTCAATTCAACCTTCAACAGGTGAAAAAGCGGGTTAAATTGTAAGAGGTTAAAGTGTTGGCAGCAAGAAAGTGTAAGATAATCAATGTTGACTACTCTGAAGGAATTTAATAGAGATGGTGCTTATTTATTTTTCTTTTACCATAAGCATCTATTAACTATTTTTGAAAAAGCTCGAAGATGAAAGGAAAATGAGAAAAAAATGTGGTGGTTCAAAAAAGTGGAAAAAATTAGGACATTTGAACATGTTTATAAGTAGAGGGAAAGAAGCTGGAAAAGAGACGTTAAGGAAGGTAGAGTAGTGGAGATAGCTGACAAAAAGGAACCCTGGAGGAGAAGGGGAGAGTACCCCTTGCCTTCCAAGAACCGGGAAGAAGCAAAAGCTTGGGAAGAGTTAGAGAGCAATTCTGAGATGCAAGGTGGTCTGGTGACAGCTGGAAAGGGAGCAAGCTCACAGCAGAGAGGTCTCAATCCTGGCAGTCAACTCAAGGCAAGGTTAATGCATTTAGAGTGATGAAGGCAGGGGTAGGACTGAAGGCTTCTAAAATGTAGAGATAGTTTAGAACAGCTGCGGTGAGGAACGTGATAAGAACTAACAAGATGTAAAAGTAAAGTGACTGCCAAGCAGAAAGGGCTTTATGAGATGAGAGAATGAATCTGTAATGACAGGTGAAGGATCAAACATCCCCAAGTTATTCTAAACTTTAAAAGATACAACATAAACACAAAAAGTATGTCAGATCACTGCTGCCTGGACTTGATATGTTGATGTAATCTTTTAAAAAAGTAATTTGGCAATACATATCAAGAGCTTTAAAAATTTTGCACCCTTTGACCTAATGCCCCGTCTAGGAATCTATCTTAAGGTAATACTCAGGAACTCAAAGATGGTCATCAACAAAATGGGAAACAGCGCAGTGGAGTGGAAAGAGCACAGGCCTTAGTCAGACTTGGGTTTGAATCCTGGCTCTGCCACCTCATAGCTGCATAACTTTGCTTAACCTCTCTGATCCTTGGTTTCCTCATCTGTAAAACGAAGATGATGACAACTAGGTTTACAAGGTTGTTGTGAGAATTAGAGATAATACACGTAAAGCAAAGAAGAAAATGACAATTACTGTTTTTATAATTGTGTAATTCAAACATCCCATAACTGAATGATTAGATAAAATACAGCATAATCTGATAATGAAACACTGTGTAGCCATTAAAAATGGGACTTCCAAAGAACTTTAAAAATATTTTCAGTCTATAGAACTACTTACTCATCATCTGGAGTGAGCTGGACAGGTTCATTAGTAAACTGAGAATCAAAGTTGTCCAAACCAAATTCCCCAGAAATATTTGGTTTAAAGGGAGGTACCACCTGCTTTTGCTCCATCTAGAAAAGACATAGTGGATGACAGCTCAAGCCTGCATTCTTAGAAATATTCCACCTCTACATTTCTCCTCTGTCCTCAGATATTTCCCAGTCTTATTAAAATGAGTCCCTAGGCATTGTTCTACAATATTCACAATGATGGAAATAATTTACAAATCTGAACATTGATGCAGGCCTCAATAATATTACAACCTGCTCCATTAAATTAATGTTCTAAGCTTTTACTGTTTCAAAAGCTTTTTTAAAAGCACTGAAGACAGTGGTTTTAAATTATTTAAGCTGTGATATACTAGTTTTTCAATATTCTTTTAAGTTAATAAATTTTGGCCCAAGAAAATAATGAAACCTAATATATTAAACAGTCCACTTTACATACCATATCCCAATCAACATTTCGGAAGAATGGGTGTCCCTGAATATCAGCAAATCCTGTTTGAGGATGACAACCCAATCGTTCCTTTGGGTCCTATGGTGGAAAGAAATGTTTCAAGAACTGGGTGAATATCCTGATTTAGAATAAATCATCTTTGTGACCTGTGTTTTGTGTCTATTATATGATACCTTTATGTCTGAACTCAGAATGGTCTACCTTTCTTTTCTAGAAAGTGCAACACTAGATACTCAAATGAGTATCTGAAGCTTGTGACAAGTAAGATTTCTTCATGGCTCTCTCTCCAGCTATCCTTGTAATTCAAGTGGAGAGATGTCGCCACACCCTCCTAAAGAAAAATGGGAGGAAAAAGAACAGCAGAATCAACTGGGCAGCATCCAGCTCTTTCTTTCACATGGGTTAGAGCGATAGTCAAAATATGCAAACCCCCAAACTTTACAAGTTTGTTTTTTAGCTCAATTTAAAAGCCCTATGCCCAATTACAACAACCATAACCTGTGTATAGCGCAACAATACAACCATTATTTGAATCAATGGACTGAGAAACGGCCTGCAACTTATAAAATTATCATGAATGAGAACATGTTCCCATTTTTCTTTGCAGTAAAAGGCATTTTGTTTTGCATATTGACACTTCTCACCTTCACTTTTCACTGTGTTAAAGCTTGGGTTTCCAGTTTAAATCTTTCCTCACATAAAATACTCATTTAAAACAGGCTTGAATTTCTTATTTTATTAAAATTCATCATTATCTTATCTATTTACCTTAGAAAATACATGCAGGGCTTCCCTGGTGGCGCAGTGGTTAAGAATCCGCCTGCCACTGCAGGGGACACGGGTTTGAGCCCTGGTCCGGGAAGATTCCACATGCCATGGAGCAACTAAGCCCTTGCGCCACAACTACTGAGCCCGCAAGCCACAACTACTGAGGCCCGTGCTCCTAGAGCCCGTGCTCTGCAACAAGAGAAGCCACCGCAATGAGAAGCCCATGCACTGCAACAGAGTAGCCCCCATTCGCTGCAACCAGGGAAAAGCCCACGTAGCAATGAAGACCCAACACAGCCAAAAATTAAAAAATAAATAAAATTTATAAGAAAAAAAAAAGAAGAAGTAGATTGGTGGTAGAGAGAGGGCTCTTTAAATAAATAAATGCATATCAGCCTACTTTCTACCTACCATTTATTTAAAATAAGATTTTAACGTAAGAATTGGAAAATTGGTTGGTGTGGAAAAAACCTACACATTTGGTGTTAGAAGTGTTATGAGTAAAGATAGTTCAGAATCGTAATCTTAAATAGATCCTAAAACTCTTCTAGCCTACCAACTGCAACAAACAACAGAATTTTCAGATGTTCAGATTTTTTAAAGCGCCAATGATAGCATTTCATTTCTTCTGAATATTATCTAATTATAGGGTTGTGATATGAGAATTTGTAGGGAACACTACTGCACTAAGTGCTCAATAAGTTAAGACATTCTATGAATAATAATCTAAAGAAAACTGAAAAACAGAGCTGAAAGTACAATTGAGGCTATCCCCAGAGATGCAATTTTTCCCTGAGTACATGGTATTTTTCATTTACATTAAAAACACCATATGTAATATAAAGCTGGGGGTAAATTATATTGGCAAAATGGAAAGAACACCTCACCTCAGGATCTAATTCTGTCAACCTACTCTTTGCTGAAGAGACAAGCTCCAGATCTAACTGAAAAATTACATACTCTGATGTTTTGGAATTTTACGTTGCCTGAACCTCTCCTTACCAGCTTCATTTGTATAGAGATAAATCACTAGAGATTTTATACACAATTTATACCTTGTTGAGGAAGCTCTTCAGGACACTTGCGGCTTTTACAGACAAAGAACGTGGTATGCGAATTTGTTTTTCCAAAATAACTAGAAAGATAAAATTTACGGCATTATATTTAACTTTTACAGGGCTTTAATCTTTATATTTTTATTATGAGGTATTTAAGGAATTCTAGCAGAAAAAAACAAAGACATTACATACACTACCTAAGCGTCCTGTGTACTTTCCCAGTCCCATTCCTCTCCTTCCTTCTCAGAGACAGCCTCTATCTACTCTGAACAGTTTTTATCATTATATGCAAATGTTTTATTCTTTGACTACCTTACCTTACTTTCCTCATCTGTAAAATTGGAATAAAAATAATACCTGATTCATTGGGGTGTTATGAGGTTTAAATGAGTTAGTATCTGTAAAATGTGTGGCACGTATTACTAAATTCGATTTTATTAGACGTTGCCAAATTATTCTCCAAAGCTGTTTTGTCCATTTTCACTCCTGCCACCAGAGTTCCAGTTGCTCCATATCCTCACCAGCACTAGTATTATCAGACTTTAAAGTTTTTGCCAAATGTGTAGGTAGAAAATGGTAGCTCATTAATATTTTCATGTGCACACCCCTAATTAGCAGTGAGGTTGAACGTCTTTCCATATATTCCACAGTCAGCTGGACTTCCTATGACATGAAATATCCATTCATTTCCTGTGACGGCCTTAATTATGAAATGTAGAATTTTATGGCAGTCTTCGCACTTCTTTGGACTGTGTGTTGGTTGGGGAGGGGTCCTTGTGCTTGTCTGCTTGTTTCCGTTCTGTTCAATTCTTTGTATTTCCAATTGTGGGGCTTTTTTCTTCACCTTTTGATCCCTCTTATCCTCTTGGTACTCTACTTTTTCCCCATATTTCTGTTGGACTTATGCATTCAGCCTTGTGGTCCAGGTGAAAAGACTGTCCTCTCCAGCTACACAATTCTTTCCTCCAATCTCTGTGATGTACAATCTGAAGGAACCTCTTTGTCATGATTTTGAGTATGAGAAGGTAACTGGCAAATGTGAACAGACTAAGAGGTAGGAAGGATAGATCAAAACAACAACAAAAACAAACTCAAAGCCTCACGTGTTAAGGACTATATTGTCCAGATTATTCTCCTCTTTCTTACTCAAAGTAATAACTTGAGCCATCCTCATTCATGCTCTAGAATAGATTATTCACAGTGAATCTCTGTAAAACACTGCAAATTACCTTGAAAAAGATAATCCTCTGTGTTTTGATCAGGGTTATCAGAGCTCCCAACAATATCAAATGGAGACCTTCCTGCCATCATCTCAAACATTAGTACTCCAAGAGCCCACCAGTCGACGCTGAAACCTTCAAAAAGAAATTTTAAAGCAACAAATTATCCATTCTGCATTCTAAAAAGTCAGTAATTTGAGATCCATTTTATTACATAATAAAAAAAATAAACATAATGAAAAAGTAAACTCGAAATGCATTACAACTATCATGGTAGGCATCGAGGATTATAGGAATATTTCACTTAACAAAAAGGGGAGGTACCTAAAAGATAACTTTAAAAATAAAATATGGAAAATGGAACATAAGTTTCGCTTCCCAAATATGTCTGTAATTCAGACTCATAGCCTGTATCTAATATTTTGTTTTGAGGATATAATGAAATTGTATTTGAGAATAACCTTCCTTGATCTGAAACGGGGTCTTCTGCTAGCTGACTAAAGATCCTTGAAGGACTTTGGAACCGGATTATGAGCAGCTATCAGAAATACCCATCCTCCTTTACAGCTGCTGGAATTAAAGGGCCAGAACCCAAAGGGTCAAATGTTTTCTTGAGATAAACATATCCTCTGGTTCCTGGCAAGCAGGCAATCTTTCCTCCATCTTTCACATTCCTGGGGGAAATACCCTAGGAAATCTGAACAATCTTCCAGAGGTTTATGACTCTGGAGTCACATGGCTGATTAAATCCCATAATTTATGACTCCCAGAGGAGGAAAGATTGCCTGCCACTTTCTAGCTACATGACCTTGGGCAAGTTATTTAGCCTTTCTGTACATCAGTTTCCTTGTTTGCAAAATGTGAATTAACAGTGCTTACCTCATAGGATTATTAAGAGGATTAACAGTTAACATATGCAAACTGCTTAGAATAGTGCCTAGTACTCTTAAGTGCTTGCTACTAATAAAATATTATTCAAATTTGCACCCCCAAATACTGCCAAGGTCCCACCATCTCTGATTTCAGAATTTGGGGGTTTTATGTAGGTTTTAAGAAGATCAAGAAAGTTTATGTTAATAAGCTCAGTATTGAAATACTATAGTGTACTATAATGCAGTTGGTACCACATTTAACCACCCTTCTAGCACATAGCCAAAATACCGCCAATTTATTACCATAATCTTCTCCTCGTAAAATTTCAGGAGCAATGTAATTAGGAGTACCACAGAAAGTGCTGGTTGTATCTCCTGGCCGTAATCCTTCCTTTTATTAAAAAAAAAGAAAAAACAAAAATAAGATGCAAAATCTGTTTTAAATTCACCTCTTTTATTTCATCTATCATATAAGGTCAGCATCTATAGGTAATATATTGAGCTTAAATAAAATATCACTAGCACAGTTGCCTTTACTATTAAAATCATGGGTTGCTACTAAATACCTTAAAAAAAACCTGTCCTCATTAGATGTAGGTAAACAGTCAGTTCAATTAAGATAAAAACTGCACTTAAAATAATTTATACTCAAGTAAAATTATAATAGAAAAACTTAAATTACATGAGTAAAAGGAATCATATTTTATGAAGAAAAGAAGCTCTTTAAATCCCACCTCCTAACACAACCACTGCTGGCATTATGATGTTTCCCTTCTGGTCATTTCTCCTAAGGCACACGTTTTTTGGTTTTGTATTTTAATAGCTACAGGATGGAGGAAATTAAGGTAAAACACACTAATATGTATAAATAGAGAAACTACACAATAACAAATGGAACAATCACCAAGAAGTTAAAACAAACTTGTATGTAGCTAACAACACAGCCTCAAAATGCAACTAGTAAAAATGGACAAAATTATTAAGAGGACTTCACAATCCCTGCTATTGCCTGAATGTTTACATGCCCCTAATATTCTTATGCTGAAGCCCTAATGTGATAGCATTGTGGGGGGGGGGGCTTTGGGGAGGTAATTAGATCATAAGGTTTGAGCCCCATGATGGGATTCATGTTCTTATAAGAAGAGAAAGAGAGCTAGCCCCTTTCTCTCTCCCCACCATTTGAGGATACAATGGGAAGACAGCCATCTGCAAACCACGAAGAATGCCTTTACTCTTCTGCAAACCAGGAGGGGTGCCTTCAGACACCAAATCTGCCAGCACCTTCATCTTGGACTTCCCAGTCTCCAGAACCATGAGAAATAAGTGCTTGTTGCTTAAGCCACCTAATCTGTAGTACCTTGTTATAGCAGCCTGGACTGACAGTACAATCCCCAAACATGACAGGTAATTTTAACACATTTATATCAAAAAATGGTAGGTGATACCAACAAAAAAATTAGTAAGCAGAAAAAGATTTGGACAAAAGCTAGAGTTAAAAATATGTATAGTTTACATACATATAGAATATATATATCTACGTGTATGTGTGGAGAAACGGAAAAGGAGGGAGAGACTCCTTGAATGCAAAACAGAGATTACATATCCTTTTTAAAGTACATTTGGGATACTGACCAAATACTAAGGCATAAAAGAAACCTCAATAAATTTCAAAGGACTAGTATCATTCAGACCATTCTTGCGCCACAGGAAATTAAATGAGAAAGAGCCAAAACAATCTTGAGAAAGAAAAGAGTTGGAGGAATCAAGCTCCCTGACTTCAGACTATACTACAAAGTTACAGTAATGAAAACAGTGTGGTACTGGCACAAAAACAGACACATAGATCAATGGAACAGAAAGAGAGAGTCCATAAATAAGCCCATTCACTTGTGGTTAATTAGTCTATGAAAAAGGAAGCAAAAGTATACAATGGAGAAAAGACAGTTCCTTCAATTAGTGGTGCTGGAAAAACAGGACATCTACATGTAAAAGAATGAAATTAGAATATTTTTGCACACCGTATACAAAAATAAACTCAAAATGGATTGAAGACCTAAATATAAGACCAGAAACCACAAAACTCCTAAAAGAAAACATAGGCAGAATACTCTTTGACATATATTGTACCAATATATATATATTTTTGATCTATCTTCTAAGGCAAAGGAAACAAAAGCAAAAATAAACATATGGGACCTAATTAGACTTAAAAGTTTTTGCACAGCAAAGGAAACCACTGACAAAATACTACTGGAATACTACTCAGCCACAAAAACGAATGAGATTTTGCCATTAACAACAACATAGATAGACTTGGAGGGTTATTATGCTATTGAAATAAGTCAGACAGAGAAAGACAAATACTGTATGCTATCACTTATATGTGGAATTTAAAAAGTAAAACAAACAAATGAATATAGTAACAACAACAAAAACAGACTCACAGATATAGAGAATAAACTAGTGGCTACCAGTGGGGAGAGGGAGAGGGAGAAGGAAGGGACAAAATAGAGGTAGGAGATTAAGAGGCACAAACTACTATGTATAAAATAAATAAGCTACAAGGGTATATTGTAAAGCACAGAGAATATAGTCCAATTTTATAATAACTATAAATGGACTACAATCTTTAAAAACCGTAAATCACTATGTTGTACATCTGAAACTTACATAATACTATAAATCAACCATACCTCAATTAAAACTAAAAATAATAAAAAGATACTCTAAATACAAGCTGAATAATACTAAATATACAATTAAGCATCTGCTTTTTTTACTTTATAGCTATGTAATTTCCCATGTAGTTACAGACTTTGTATTACTAATAACTACAAATCCAACTCAACATATGTACCTAGAATCTAACCATTTCCCTATTGTTAAATTACATGGTACAAAATTCCAAACAAAAAGGTTGGGGGGGAAGATATACACTAAGAATCAAGCCTCCCTCCCATTCTTGTCCCTGATGCATCCAGTTCCAGCTCCCTAGGGACAGCCACAGTCATGAGGTTCTTATGTGTTCCTACAGAGATATTCTGGGTGTGATGTATGTATCTGTCTTCAAATTTTACACTATTCTATATAACACTAACACACACATCTAGAAGAAGTATTTAGTAATATATGTTGTGACTCCAAGGATTTTTTAAAGATCTCTAACAGGGATATATATGTTATTTTTGTATACAGGCATACATGGAGATACTGCAGTTTGCTTTCAGACCCCCATTTATGACATCACAATAAATTGACTCACATGAGTATTTCTGGTTTCCCAGTGCATATAAAAATTATGTTTACACTACACTGTAATCTATTAAGTGTGCAAAAGCATTATGTCTAAAAAACAAAGTGAATACCTTAAATAAAAAATACTTTAAACACAACATTGTAAATCAACTATATTTCAATAAAAATTTTAAAAAAAACTTTATTGCTAAAAAATGCTAACAAGAACTTCCCCTGGTGGTCCAGTGGTTAAGAATCTGCCTTCCAACACAACGCAGGGGATGAGGGTTCAATCCCTGGTCGGGGAACTAAGATCCCACATGCTGCAGGGCAACTAAGTCTGCACACTGCAACTACTGAGCCCACATGCTCTGGAGCCCATGCACCACAACTAGAGAGAAGCCTGCGCGCTGCAGCAAAAGATTCTGTGTGCTGCAACTAAGACCCAATGCAGCCAAAAATAAATAAATAATAAATAAATAAATATTAAAAAAAAAAGCTAACCATCATCTGAAAACACAGGGTTGCCAAAAAACATCAACTTGTAGAAAACGCAATATCTGTGAAGCACAGTAAAATGAAGTATGCCTGTACAAAGAAATATGAATGTGATTTAAGTTGTTTTGTATTATGGGCAATGGCCTGACATACAGTCTCATGGTGAGTGACATGCACTTTCAAGGTAAGACTCAGAGGCAAGGGATGCAGTCTGTTAACTTGTAAAAGAACTATACTAAATCATTCACCTTTTGACTGGATATCTGAACATAGGCCCATCAGCTAAATTATTTACAGCATAACATAGATATTATTATAACACACCCTGCTGATAAAAAATAGTTAAAGGCACATCAATTCACAAAATAGCTGGTTTTTCAGTCAATTAAAAAAAAAGTCAATGTTCATAAAATATTCCAAACATAACTCTGAAGATGTTAATTGCAGTTTTCATATGCCTCCAGTCATCACTATTCTCTGCATTCTCTTTAAACTTTTTTAATACATTTTATAAAGTCTTTATTGAATTTGTTACAATATTGCTTCTGTTTTATGTTTTGGTATTTTGGCCACAAGGCATGTGGGATCTTAGCTCCCCGATCAGGGATCAAACCTGCACCCCCTGCATTGGAAGGCGAAGTCTTAACCACTGGAACGCCAGGGAAATCCCTCTTTTTTTTTTTTTTTAATATTTATTTATTTAGGCGACACAGGATCTTCATTGCCGAGTACGTGATCTTTAGTTGTGGCATGCAGGATCTAGTTCCCTGACCAGGGATCAAACCCGGACGCCCTCCACTGGGAGAGTGGAGTCTTAACCTCTGGACCACCAGGGAAGTCCCTGCATTCTTTATATAAAAGTATCTAGTGAGAAACTGAAGAAATTAAATTAATTAAACCTGGGGAAACTATGAAAAAAACCTTGAATGATTTAGATTTACCAAAGAATAATTATAAGGAAAAAAAATTTATCCAATATATGCCCAAGGTCAGACATTAGGTAAGTTTAAATACTGATGTTAAGTCATAAGATAAGAACATTCAAATTTCCAGCGGATTTATTTCCCATAAGGTTTAACATCGGGCGTAAATATGTTGGAAAAGAAACAAAGTACTGTTGGTTAAGTCTCTGAACACAAGTTCCAATCCTGGTGTTATTTCCTACTAGTAACACCAAATAGCTCCTGGAGAAGGAGGCAGAAAAGGAGGTAAGCAAGACAACCAACTTAAAGAACTACTGAATAAAACCTCTCAGATTTATCAAAGATCGTGATTAACTTGATTGAGGATCTCTGGAAAGAATGGGAATATATAACAAACCATTATTATTTTTCATTAAGAGTAACAAAAAGATCAAGTGATTTTTCTCTAATAATATCTTCCAGGCAAAACAGGATGCCCAAATTTCTTTGAATAAAAAGAACCAGGCTCTGGAGGCACTTCCCTCAGGTGAATGGGAAAAGGCAAATAACACATTCACATGCTTGTTGGCAAATTCACTGTGTGAAGATAATTCGGTCCCAGCTATTTTGACAAGGAGAGTAGCCCCCTACACATCTCCTGGAAAAAGACTGGACCCGTAAATGAAACATTGTTACAAAAAGAATAAAACACCAAGAAATAAAGGACATGTCCTGAGAGTAACTAAAATTCTTATTTTGCTTTATTGAATTTTATGTCAGATATTTAAATTTAAATATATAAAAAATGTTAGATTTCCTAGGGAAATCTTGAGTGCATCATTAAGAGTCACAATTAAATGGCAAAAACTGGAAGGTGATATGCAAGCAGTTTTACAGTTGTGGGTTTGTAGACAGTTTTTACCTCCAAGTTTTCTTCAATAGTGTCACAACTTCGAAGATAAAAAATTACAGAAAATAAAAAGAACTTAACTCTTATAGCACATATAATGCTCACAGAAAATATGGAATTTTGTAAATGGCTAGGAAATCAGTGCATTTGTCTTTGTTTAGGATACTTTTTGGAATTCTAGCACAAAGTAGCACTTATTTCCCCATCATTAAATATAAAGTTATTTGACTGAAACAATTTCCTGAGCTGCTAAGATCTTCTGAATAACTAGAAATTTCCCCTCACCTTACACATGCCATAGTCAGTGAGTTTAATGTGTCCTTCAGAGTCCAGCAACACGTTGTCCAATTTCAAATCTCTATAAATTATCCCCCGTTCATGAAGATAATTTAATGCTAGACTGATTTCTGCGGAGTAAAATCTAAAATAAAATGAAAAATTACTCATTTGATTCAAATTTTTAAATTGTGGTAAGTGCCTACAGAAAGGTATTTAAATCCTACTCCCATCTGCAAACCAGAACATCAAAATCATGTCAAAAGATTTTTTTCTCTCAATGTTTTTAGGAACAGTACCAAAACACAAATTGAAGTGCCACTTGAAGATAGCTGAGCCCTAAACACAATTATAAAGTTCCAATCTAAATTAAACCCATACTTTTCATAAGGTTTAATTTGAAAGTCTCAAGCAGGGATTCTTAATCTGGGCCCTCGGATGGACTTCAGAAAGTCCACACTCCTACAACTGGATGCAAGCAGAATTTGGTGGTAAGCAGAATTTTTGACCTGAATAATGAAAATGAAACACCCTAGCTGGTTTTTGGCTGCTTTGGTGAATGTTATCATGATCATGTCTGGAGGTACATAATACACACCTTCCAGCTACTTAATTCTAAGAATAGGGAACTTGAGCTCTTATCCTATACTCTGGTTCCTAGAAAAGCAAAGATGATATAAAACCAGAACGGGCACTTTAATACAATAAAAACAAGACTATTTTCCCCAAGTCCAGCTGAACAAACAAGGAACAAATACCGGCTATATTCACAATTCAAAATATCATCTGTGGCTTTTGCCATGAAGGGTGACCATTTGCTAAAGCCTACGTAAATAATGAACATACAGTAAATTAAACAACAACAACAACAACAGCAGTCTGGCCCCGAGACAGATTAATACACTTTATACCTTCTTATAAAATTGAAAGCTATTATCTCTTTTTGACAAGAAATATCAATGAATAGCGAGATTTCCACTAAATAAGTTATTTTTTAAAATGAATCTCTAACCTTTGTTACATACATATACAAACTCACATGCTTCATTTTGGCATTACTCTTGTGAAGTGCAAAAGGGTAGAATTACTGCTAATTATGAGTAAAAAACAAAATAAAACATGGCACTCATGGATTAAACTTCTTATCCTCCCCCACCTAAGTCCTCCAACAATTTACAATCCTGTATAAGAATATCAGATTAAGGGCACTAAACAAATAAATATATTTAATACTCTTTTCTCTTATTAATCAACATGGATGGGATCAGAGGGGGGGAAGCCAAAGCCAGAACAATTCAGAAATTATAATTATGGAAGAACAGTCGATTACATAATAGGTTAAGAGGAATTGTTTTATTACTCTCAAGTATATATGAATAATAATCTTCTAATGAAAAACTGTCAGTGATCACTGCAAACTTGATAAGATTAATAAGTGTTTATAAATTCATTAATTATCTTAGTGGCTGATACTGAATAGAGAAAATATTTGAAAATAACTGAGTTTCGTAGACTAAAGGTTTCCGCTTTAACATTGTTTATACTTCTCAATTGCTTATAATTATATTATTATATATGTAATATGTATCACATTATAATATAATTTAACTGTTAGCTTAGCCTTTACATGACTTATAAAGAATTAGCTCGTATCAAAATAAATGATTTATCTACTGTTTTCAACCACTGGCATATAAAAAGTCCCATAGCTCCTCCCACCAAACTTCAACACAAGCAAACAATAAACAAAAAACTTACCTGGCATGTTCTTCAGGAAGTTTTCTTTGTCGCTGCATATGAAACATTAGATCTCCTCCATTAACATACTCTATGACAAAGAACAATCTAAAAAACAGGAGAGAACACATGAAACCAAGATCCAAAATAAGGTGGTGTAACTTTGCATTTTAAAACTATAGAGACCAGTCACAGCATAGAGAGCATTCTACATGATTCACCCTTAACAAAAATTCCAGGAATTTGGTGGAAACGAAGGGTGATTGGAGTAGAAAGCTGTTTAATCACAGAAGATACAAGAAAGTAAATCAGAAAGATAATTTGTAACCTGCTACTTCTATTCTAAAGTATTGGGTTGGCCAAAAAGTTCATTTGGGTTTTTCCATAAGATCTTAACGAAAAACCCGAATGAACTTTGTGGCCAAGCCAATAGTACCATTTGCAATCCAGAGCTCTCACTCCCACCCCAGTTTTAGAATGTGCAATGTGTAAGTCATTTTCAACTGTCACTTAAGGCAAAAGAAGTTAGAATCTATCCCCCTAATTAAACTCTAGGAACATTTTAGTCCTAAAACTAGAATCTTGGTGATATTTAAAAGGTTGGATTTCTACTGCCATAATTAGGACCTGGCTATTTTTTTTTTTTTTTTTTTTTTGCCTAAAGCAGGTAATTTCCTAATGCTGATCCAACGTCAAATTGATATCACTGGTTGGAGTATGAGTAGCAGGAAATTACAAGCATAGTACTGTTGTGTCTGTCTCCATGTGACTTCCACTTCAGGAATTACTGTAGAAAGGGGTTCTTATTGTGTAATATACCAAAATGTGTAAAACCCAGGTATCATTCCATTATCTTTCAATCTTACCTGCTTTCTGTCTGGAAGCAAGAATGCAGCCCAACAAGAAAAGGGTGATTAGATGCCTGCTCAAAAACATGCTTCTCTGTCTGTACCCAGTCAATATCCTATTTTAAAATACAAAAGAAATCTATGTCACTGAAATGATATCATCAAAACTATGACAAATTTGTTCTTAGTAATTCTATTACCATAAATGCAATTATTAACTAACTAGGCTAAATATCAAAAGCATTGATAATCATGAAATAGTAATTTATATACAAAGGGAAAATACTACCAGTAAATCTTTCGATATTATGCAACACTCTAGAAAACTTTACAAAGCTCAAGTACTTGCCCTTGATAATAATATGGTTTGATTTTTATTTTTAAAAAATCTAATAATCCTCAGATAACTTTATTTATTTATTTATCTGGCTGTGTTAGGTCTTCATTGCTGCACGCAGCCTTTCTCGAATTGTGGTGAGCAGGGGCTACTCTTCGTTGTGGTGCACGGGCTTCTCATTGTTGTGGCTTCTCTTGTTGCAGAGCACGGGCTCTAGGCATGCAGGCTTCAGGAGTTGTGGCGTGTGGGCTCAGTAGTTGTGGCTCAGTAATAGTCCATTGTATATATGTACCACATCTTCCTTATCCATTCATTTGCTGATGGACATTTAGGCTGTTTCCATGTCTTGGCTATTGTGAATAGTGCTGCTATGAACACAGGGGTGCATGCATCTTTATGAATTACAGTTTTGTCCGGATATATGGCCAGGAGTGGGATTGCTGGGTCATGTGGTAATTCTATTTTTAGTTTTTTAAGGACACTCCATACTGTTCTCCATAGTGGCTGTATCAATTTACATTCCCACCAACAGTGCAAGAGGGTTCCCTTTTCTCCACACCCTCTCCAGCATTTGTTGTTTGTAGATTTTCTGATGATGCCCATTCTAACTGGTGTGAGGTCATACTTTATTGTAGTTTTATTTGCATTTCTCTAATAATTAGTGATGTTGAGCAGCTTTTCATGTGCCTCTTGGCCATCTGTATGTCTTCTTTGGAGAAATGTCTGTTTAGGTCTTCTGCCCATTTTTGGATTGAGTTGCTTGTTTTTTTAATATTGAGCTGCATGAGCTGTATATATATTTTGGAGATTAATCCTTTGTCCATTGATTCATTTGCAAATATTTTTCTCCCATTCTGAGGGTTGTCTTTTCTTCTTGTTTATAGTTTCCTTTGCTGTGCAAAAGCTTTTAAGTTTCATTAGGTCCCATTTGTTTATTTTTGTTTTTATTTCCATTACTCTAGGAGGTGGGTCAAAAAAGATCTTGCTGTGATTTATGTCAAAGAGTGTTCTTCCTATGTTTTCCTCTCTGAAACAACCATTATTAACACTTAACTTCTACAAACTTACAATTAGTTATATTAAAAATAAATGTGATAAATACTCAAAACTAATTATTTTATTACATGTAACCATTATCTATGCTCTTGAGGTTATTTACAACTGTTACATCTGTACGTAGTTGTGGCTCACAAGCTCTAGAGTGCAGGCTCAGTAGTTGTGGTGCATGGGCTTAGTTGCTCCGCAGGATATGGGATCCTCTCAGACCAGGGATCGAACCCATGTCCCCTGCAATGGCAGGCGGATTCTTAACCACTGCGCCACCAGGGAAGTCCCCATCAGATAACTTTAAATATACCTTAAATAATCTGTTTGAAGCATGTATTTAGAAAAGTAGGTTGAAATAATAAGGCATAAACATTGAGGTTTTTTTCTGAAATAGTACACTTAAGCCAACTTAACAGTTTAGAGGTAATAAAACATCATAGTGCTTACCTCATCATCATTGACAAGCTCCTTTTTCACAACTTTCATTGCATAAATACGATCTGTTTTTTTTAATCGCACCAATAGTACTTTGGCATAACTTCCTCTTCCTATTACCCGGAGCAAATCAAAATCCTGAAGACCTAAACTGGATGAAGCTTTGCCACTTTCCCTGGTGTTCATTGCCTGTTGAGAACATTTATACCAAACAGTTATACCTGAAGTATTTTGCATAACACAATATACTTCTAACACCTAGTTATACCTATAAGATTTTTAAATATTTTCTGATTTAAGTTCTTAATTAGTTCTTACATCATTCCAAATGATATAATCTAACTACTCAAGAGGTAGGATGAATTCATGAGTTGAGGTCAGAGGGGTGGTGTTAGGAAAGGAGAAGGAGTTGAAATCTGAGAAACATTGAAGGATGTCTTGGAATCTGATAACTTTTGGGTATGGAGGCAGTGGAGACACATGAATAAAAAAATGACACTAACTTCGGTGACTGGGACTCTGGAGGTGCCACTGCTAGAAAAATGAAGTGTGAGCACATGGTAAGATTGACAGAGTTGATGAGATAATGAGCTCGATTTTTCATACTGAAATTAGAAGTTACAATGGGACATCAAGATGAAAGAGTCTGCCAGAAGCTTAATGTATGAAATCTGAGTTAAGCTACAGGCAGAAAACAAGCATGAGGCAGTTCAGCTAATGTAAAACATTCTTTTCTATACAATACCAAGACTCCTGTGGAATGACAAAGTCAGCTCTGTAATTCATTCACAAGTAGAAACTTAGGCTTCTGGAAATTTATAAAGAAGACTAAAGATAATCTTTTATTAGATGCCTGCAAAATTCCCAGCATACAACCAACAGATATACTCATGAGAATTAAGTACAAATTTTCTGAAGTGAAGAGTATCAGCAAAAGCAAGGAGCAAATTTTCAGAAAGATAAACTAGTAAGCACAAAACAGGAAAGAAAAAAGCATTATGAAAATTGAAGGAGCATGATTATCCAAAACAAAATTTAGAAATAATAATTTGACTTGGTAATAAGAATAAATAAAAAGGAGTGAAAGAAACCAGATTAGGGCAGATTAAGAAAGCAGAAAATGGTAAAAAGATAAAGCAATGTATAGACTTTAAATATGGTTAACTGGAAGCTATAAAAGAGAATCAAATGGAATGAAAGCACAGTTCCTTCACATAAACAATAATAAAGCTGAATGAAATGACAGAAGCGAGAAAACAGTGGAATGTCACCTTTTAAATGGCTTACCCCCTCCCCCCTTGCTTATCTACAATCCTACAGCCTGTAAAAATAGCCTTCAAAATGAAAATGAAATAAATACATTTTCAGACAAACAAAAACTAAGGAAATCCGTCACTAGTTGGTTCTCACTCAAGGAAATATTGAGTTCTTCAAGAAGAAGAAAGATGATCTCATATGGAAGGCAGACACACAGGAACAAAAGCAGAACAAAAAGAATAAAATGTGGATAAACCTAAATAAGGATTGACTGTTTAAAAACACTAACACACACATACAGAATTTTAAAATATGACAAAAATAGCAATAAAGACAGGAAGGGAGCATGAGTGAATTTAAAGTGTTCTAAGGTCCTTGCATATCTTGGAAAATGGTAAAAAGTATTATTAATAATTCGTATTGAATTTAAATAAGTTAAGGGTATAAGATGCAATCTCTAGAACAACCAGTAATAAAAAAGCAAAAGAATGCGAAACAAGCTAAAAGAGGTGAGGAAAATAAATAAATAATTAACCCAAAAGAAGACTAGAAAAGTAACATAAACAGATGATACAGAAAACATAGTAAATTGGTAGATTTAAATACAAATAAGTTGTTAGTTTAAATATACTTATATTAAATGTAACAATACATAAATATTAAAACACACTAAATACTACAGCTAAGGACTATCAAACCAGAGGGGGAAGTCCAATTCTATGATGTTAATAAGACATATATGTGTACAGAAATGTTCAAAGTAAAAGGGTAAGAAACTATATACCATGTAATCACTAACCAAAAGAGAGCTGTAGCTAAATTAACATGAGACAAAGTAGCTGTAGCCAACTGTGGTAGGCTGACTTCTACGAGGACCCCAGTGATCCCCACCTCCTAGTATTCATGCCCTTGTGTAATCCCCTCGAGTATAGGCTGGACCTAATGACTAGCTTCTGATGAAAAAAATAATGGCAAAAATGAAGGGATGGCACTTCTGAGACTAGGTTACAAAAGACTGTGAGGTCTGTTTTGCTGGCATTCAATCTCTGGATCTTATTGCTTGCTTGCTCTGATGAAGCAAACTACCTTGCTGTGAGCTGCCCTATGGAGAGGCCACATGTCAAGGAAGTGAATCCTGCCAACAATGAGGTGAGTAAGTATGGAAGCAGTTTCTTCCTCAGTTGAGCCTTGAGACGACAGCAGTCTTTGCCAGTACACTGACTGCAGCCTCTAAGGGACTCTGAGACAAGAACCTGGATTCCTGACCCACAGAAATTATGACATAATAAATTTTGTTGTTTTAAGCCACTATATTTTAAGGTAATTTGTTACATAGCAATTACTTAACATAAGGACTTTAGGCAAGGAAGCATTACTACAAATAGAGAGGGGTATTTCTTTATGAAAAAGCATTAATCCAATGTAAGATACTATGATTCTAAATCTATATGTATTCAATAACATAGCCTCAAAATATGTAAAGCAAAAACTAACAAAACTAAAAGGGACAGGTAAATTCTAAATGAAAACTGTTTGTAGGGAAAGAACATGCAGTCAGTGAGGTAACAGAAGACTGAATAACACTGTTACTACTCTTGACTTAATTGATCTGTATAGAATGCTTCACCCAACAACTACAGAATATATTATATTCAAAAATACATATGGAACATTCACCAATGCCTGTGTGCTTGGTCTTCAATCAAGTTTCAAAAAAGTTCAAAAGACTGAAATCACACAGAATAGAATACATTCTCTGACGTGCAGCAGAATTAAGCTACTCAATACAATAATAAAAAAAATTCTCACGTATTTGAAAATTAATTAGTATATCAATACTTTTAAATAATACATGGATCAAAGAAGAAATCATAATACAGATTAAGATATATTTAAAAGTGAATGACACAGATGGCCACTAGGCAAATGAAAAGATGCTCAACATCACTAATTATTAGAGAGATGCAAATCAAAACCACAATGAAATACCACCTCACACCAGTCAGAATGGCCATCACTAAAAAGTCTACAAATAACAAATGCTGGAGAGGGTGTGGAGAAAAGGGAACTGTCCTACACTGTTGGTGGGAATGTAAGTTGGTACAGCCACTATGGAAAACAGTATGGAGGTTCCTTAAAAAGTAAAAATAGAACTACCATATGATCCAGCAATCCCACTACTGGGCATATACCCTGAGAGAACCATAATTCAAAGAGTCATGTACCACAACGTTCATTGCAGCACTATTTACAATAACCAGGACATGGAAGCCACCTAAGTGTCCATCAACAGATGAATGAATAAAGAAGATGTGGTACATATATACCATGGAATACTACCAGCCATAAAAAAAAAGAGAATCAAATAATGCCATTTGCAGCAACATGGATACAACTAGAGATTATCATACTAAGTCAGAAAGAGAAAGACAAATTCCATATGATATCACTTATATGTGGAATCTAAAGTAAGGCATAAATGAACCTATCTACAAAACAGAAACAGACTCATAGACATAGAGAACAGACTTGTGGTTGCCAGGGGCAGGAGGGGGGGTGGGGGAGGGAGGGACTAGGAATTTGGGATTAGCAGATGCAAAGTATTACATTTAGAATGGATAAACAACAAGGTCCTAATGTATAGCACAGGGAACTATATTCAGTATCCTGTGATAAACCATAATGGAAAAGAATATGAAAAAAAGAATGTATTAAAAAAAAGTGAATGACAAAAAAGCATAAGGAAATGAGAAGAGGAATCAATGCAATAGAATAGGATATAAGCATTCAACAAAGAGCCAAAAGTTAGTTCTTTGAAAAGACTAATAAATTGACATCCCCTTGGCAAAACTGATGAAGAAAAAGGGAATGCACAGTAACTTTTTATCAGGAGTAAAAAAGGATATCATTTCATATTCTCAGCAATTAACAACTTTGTGTCAATAAATTTGAAAATTTAGGTTAGACAAATTCCAAGGAATAGCACAAGAGGAAACAGAGAAGCTAAATTGCCCTAGATCTATTCAGAAATAGAACCTAGAATCAAGTCCTTCCCACAAAACAAACAAACAAAAGAAACAAACCAAGAAAACCCTCCAGGCCCAGAGTGCTTTTCTGGTGAATTCTTCCAAAAATGTAAGAAAGAAATAATGTCAATCTTATAAGAATTCTCCTTGGGAATAGGAAAAATTCCAAAATCATTTTATGAGCCCAGTATTATTTTGATACCAAAACTTCACAATCTAATACAAAAAGGGAAAATTACAGGTCAATGATTCTTGTTAATAATTTTTTCAAAAACCTAAAATAAATGCTGGCGAATCAGATCTACCAATATACAAAGAGAATTATACATCATGACACAGGGAGTTTATTCCAGAAATGAAAAACAGGCTTAACATTTGAAATTTACTGGAATTGGGCTTCCCTGGTGGTGCAGTGGTTAAGAATCCACCTGCCAATGCAGGAGATATGGGTTCGAGCCCTGGTTGGGGAAGATCCCACATGCCGCGGAGCAACTAAGCCCATGCACCACAACTACTGAAGCCTGCGCACCTAGAGCCCATGCTCCGCAATAAGAGAAGCCACTGCAATGAGAAGCCCCCTCACAGCAACGAAGAGTAGCCCCTGCCTGCCGCAACCAGAGAAAACCTGTGTGCAGCAACAAAGACCCAACACAGCCAAAATAAATAAATAAATTTAAATTAAAAAAAGAAAGAAATTTACTGAAATTTACACATGATCAACCCCACAAATGCCATAAAATGTTGTTGATAAAATTCAACATCTTTTCAAGATGAAAACAAAAAGCTTAGCCAACAAGGAATAGAGACAAACTCCCTCATTCTGATAAGGGTATCTATAGAATAAAAATCTAGAGCAAACATCAAACTTAATGATAAGATATTAGAAGATTTCTGTCTGAGATGTGGAACAAGACAATAATATCTGATTGTCACTTCTTTTCAACATCATTTTGGCCATTTATAGAGGTCCTTGCTAACTCAATAAGGTAAGAAAACTGAAAAAAATCTATAAGATTGGAAAAGGAAGAAATGAAACTGTTATTCATAAGATGATCATATATGTAGAAAATCTAAGAGTATCTTTAGATAGCTATTAGAATTAATAAGTGAATTTAGCAAGGTCTCAGGATACAAGGCAATTTAGGAAAAAAACCTTATTTCCATATAACAATATTAAATAGACAATTAAAGTTTAAAAGAATACCATTTACCTCCAATATCTCTAGTGCAAGAATTTTGAAAACTATAAAACACTGACAGAAATGAAAGAAGACCTAAGTCAATGGAAGAACGTGTCATGTTCACCAATCGAGGACTTAATATTGTAGATATCGCTTTTCCTGAAATTGATCAACAGGCTTGGTTTATTTCCTTGATTCTATGGAAACTAGTGAGCTAATTCTAAAATTTACATGGAAATTCAAAAAGCTAGTAAGAGTAGCCAAGAACAAATTCCCAGAACAAAGCAGAACTTTACTGGATATAAAAGACTTATTATAAACCTATAATAATAATGACAGTATATCAGCATAAGAATAAATAAATGATGGAAAATAAAAAGGAATCCAGAAATAGACCATGTAATAATGGGCACATAATTGATGAAAAGATACCTCTGCAGAATAATGGAGGAAAGTATAGTCTTTTCAATGTCTTCAATAATCTTGGAAAAGACAGAGATTTCTTAAACAGGCCCCAAAATCTCTATCCAAAAAATAACAGACAGATGTAGACAGCCTTCAGAATGGGAGAAAATATTTGCAAAGGAAGCCACTGACAAAGGATTAATCTCCAAAATATACAAGCAGCTCATGCAGCTCAATATCAAAAAAACAAACAACCCAATTCAAAAATGGGCAGAAGACCTAAATAGACATTTCTCCAAAGAAGATATACAGACTGCCAACAAACACATGAAAGAATGCTCAACTTCATTAATCATTAGAGAAATGCAAATCAAAACTACAATGAGGTATCACCTCACATCAGTCAGAATGGCCATCATCAAAAAATCTGCAAACAATACATGTTGGAGAGGGCGTGGAGGAAAGGGAACCCTCTTGCACTGCTGGTGGGAATGTAAACTGATACAGCTACTATGGAGAACAGTATGGAGGTTCCTTAAAAAACTAAAAATAGAATTACCATATGACCCAGCAATCCCACTACTGGGCATATACCCTGAGAAAACCATAATTCAAAAAGAGTCATGGGGGGGCTTCCCTGGTGGCGCAGTGGTTGAGAGTCCGCCTGCCGATGCAGGGGACACGGGTTCGTGCCCTGGTCCGGGAAGATCCCACATGCTGCAGAGCGGCTAGGCCCGTGAGCCATGGCCGCTGAGCCTGCACGTCCGGAGCCTGTGCTCTGCAACAGGAGAGGCCACAACGGTAAGAGCCCGACGAAGAGAAAAAAAAAAAAAAAAAAGAGTCATGTTCCACAATGTTCATTGCAGTACTCTTTATAATAGCCAGGACATGGAAGCAACCTAAGTGTCCATCAACAGATGAATGGATAAAGAAGATGTGGCACATATATACAATGGAATATTATTCAACCATAAAAAGAAATGAAATTGAGTTATTTGTAGTGAGTTGGATGGACCTAGAGTCTGTCATACAGAGTAAAGTAAGTCAGAAAGAGAAAAACAAATACCGTATGCTAACACATATATATGGAATCTAAAAAAAAATGGTTCTGATGAACCTAGGGGCAGGACAGGAATAAAGACGCAGATGTAGAGAATGGACTTGAGGACTCCGGGAGGGGGAAAGGTAAGTTGGGACGAAGTGAGAGAATAGCATTGACATATAGACACTACCAAATGTAAAATAGATAGCTGATCAGCCCGGTGCTTTGTGACCACCTAGAGGGATGTGATAGGGAGGGTGGGCGGGAGATGCAAGAGGGAGGGGATATGGGGATATATGTATGCATATAGCTGAATCATTTTGTTACACAGCAGAAACTAACACAACATTGTAAAGCAATTATACTCCAATAAAGATGTTAAAAAGAAAAAAATCAAGAACATCTGTTCATCAATGATACCATTATCAGAGTGAAAATACAAGCTATTGAGTGGCAGAATCTATTTGCAATATATAACTGATAAAAGCTTAGTGTTGAGAATACACCAAAAACTCTTACAAATCGTTACAACAAAGGCAGACCACTCACTTTTTTTTAAAGAGATATAAACAGATATTTAACTGAAAATTATATCCAAATGGTCAATAAATACATGAAAAGGTACGCAGCAGGGAAAGGCACATAAAAACCACAACATTCAACAGGTTGGCTAAAATTTAAAAGACACACTATACAACGTGTTGATAAGGATGTGGAGCAAATCAAACTCTCACACATTGCTGGTGAAAGTATAAATTGATACAAGTACTTTGGGAAACTGCTTGGCATTATTTACTAATGTACACAAGACTCAGGAATTCCACTCCTAGTTATGTACCTAACAGAAATGCTTAAATGTGTGCACCAAACTACATTTACAAGAATGTTCATAGCAGCATATCATAATAATCCCAATCCAGGGGGGAAGTCAACAGAATAGATGAATTGAAACAACAGTGAAAATAAATGATATACTGCTATATAAAACACGGCTGAACCTCACAAACACAATATTGAACAAAAGAAGCCAGACACAAAAGATACTGTGTGACTCCATTTATAAAAAGCTTGGGGAAAAGAGCAGAACTAATCTGTGGTGTTAAGACTGTGGTTACTTGAAGGGAGGAGGGAATGTCAGTGACTTGGAGAAGGTACAAGATGGGCCCCTGGGATGTGTAGTAGGTCCTATTTATTCATCTGTGTGGTCATTATGTAGTGTCCACTCTGTGAAAATTGACCCAGAGAGATACTCATGATTTGTGCACTTTGCTCTATATACTCATGATTATATACTCATGACTTGTGCACTTTGCTCTATATTATTCTTCAATTACCAAATGAGTCTTTGGTAAACAACCAAACCAATAAATAATATTTAAGGCAATGAGAAATTCCCAAAAGAACAAAAAGCTATAAAATAACATCAAGGATCAAACAAAAGGAAACTTTACTAACTCATCGTGCCAGAAGAACAGAGAATTTGTTCCTTATTATTAAGAATTTCCTCCTTTGGATGACTCATTGTCAACCAATGAACAAAATATGAAAGATGTGGTTACACTTGCAGGACAGATTATGAATGTTAATAACCTTGGCAGCATAAAAGTAAATATGTAGCTAAAAGAGGAAAGCTGGAAGAAAGAGAAAGGATGGCTAAAGGAGAGTCAAGGTATTGACTAAATTGATGGAATAAGAAACTGAGATAGGAGATTAAATAGGTAACCAACAGATGTGCTTCAAAACAGTACAGGAGTGAGGCAAGCTGGTAGACAAAACATGTACAGACAATTGTTTTAACTCGGTAATGGACACAGGAGCTTGGAATAGTATTGTTTACTTTTATTGATGTTTGAAATTTTCTGTAATAAAAAGGTTATCCAGAGTAAAACATGATACACCTATCAAACATTGGAAAGAGAAGAGAAAAGCGGGGGAGCCGGCGGGGCAGGGTAGTGTACTAGTTTAAACCTTTCATGGTTAGAAATATATAAAGTTGAAAAATTGAAAAAGAGAGGTATAAACATTGTGGACACAACTAGAAATGATTAAAAGGAGTTGCCTCTCAGAAGTCAAAGTGGGAGTGGAAGGTGTGAGGCATGATAAATCTTTTTTACTATAAGCTTTTTTCAAAAAATTGGTTATCGTTTTAATTAAACTGTTTTAAAAGCTGATAAAATGTTTAATAGTCAAAAAAGATGGGCAGTTAAGATGCTTAATCATTTATATTTTAAATAAACAATTAGCCCATAAAATGGAATGATCTATATTTTAAACAATACTACCAAGTATTCTAAATGCCATTCTTAAATGCATTATAATTTTTAGATTATGCTATCTTAAAATGAATATGTTATCTCACCAGATTCTTTCTTAATTTAAATGATTTTAGCAATTTACTTATTGAATTAACTCAGAATAAAACTCTAGAATCACTAAAAATCATCCCTACAAAATTACGATCTAAAATTTAAGCAAGTCAATTTGTCATATTTTTAAACTGTCACATTAAAAAGCTGATGACATAATGTACCATAAGACCAATTAATTATCTTACCTCCTTTTCTTCACCAACTTGGTCCAAACTCTCATGACTTGAAGGATTATATGGAATTACTAAAAAACCAATCCCAAACATTAAAAAAAAAAAGAGAGAAAAACATAGTATACATTAACTGAGTTACACTTAAAATTTTCTCTTGATTTGATTTTCCTTAGTTTTTATTTCTGAATAAGTGTTCATCATCTAAAATTGAGTATCTGTCCTACTAATAACAAATTATACATAAATACCAGTTAAATTCTAATCTTTAATGAGGGTAAAGAGAGGAGGAACCAATCAATAGCCAAGTACTGATTTTAACAAACACTTTTGCTATTTAAAAAAATATTTCTCTTCTTTACAAATTAATCAATTCCTTCCAAAAGGGTTACTCTATAAACCCTACTTAATTATATTAGTATGATTGAGGCATAGTGATAGAGGGTCTCTAGTGTGGACTCAGTTGGACTCCAGGCTTCTATTCCTTAAGCTACCTGGGTTAAAAAAAAAAAAAAAAAAAAAAAAGCCTACATTTCATACAAACAGCTTCTTCCATGAAAAAGATAATACATTCTGTCCTTCCAGAAAAACTCCCTTGTTTTCTTTTTCTTGATTCATCCCAGATCATCAGGCTGCTCTGTCCCATTTAATCGCTCTCCAAATTTCCCAGAGACATATTTAAGGTTTCGTATCTACTAGACATTTGTTTTTTTTTTAGACATTTGAACTCACACGATCTTTTCTGAATTGTCTATACAGCATCTCTGTATATTTTACATAATTTCTTCATCTCATAATAGAGTTTTTAATAAAAACAGGTCACTTGAATATAGTCAATACAGTCCACAAAATCAGTATATGTTTTCATTATTGAAAAAAAGTAGGTTTGCTGAATATAAAGGGGTCTCAAAAGAAATTTTTCTGAATAAAAGAAAATAGCCATTTGTTGTAGTTTACATAGTTGTCTTTTTAAAATGCCAAACATATGTTAACTACTGTGACTGATGTTAACACCACAAAATATGGTTACCTAGCTTTTATTTGGGAAGAATATAAATGTCTTTAAATTTAGGTATAAGATTCACATAAAGAAGTCTTTAAATGACACTTTGTTAGTGAGCAATGGTTTATGCCAGTGTCATTCTTACCTGTCTGTGCATGGTCTGAGTGCATGGATGACTGGTCCATGGGCATCATTGGTTCCTACAAATCATTTCCAAAGATACAGTAACTTAGTGCATTCTTTTTAAATCCCAATACCTCTATATCCAGAAACAACATCATTTCAATGAGACACAGCATATTAAAATTTAAATTTGAAAGAATATAACTTAATAAGTGAGAATTACATTACTATATATATTTATTTTAAATTTTATTATATGTGAAACCATACAACATTCCTATGAATGATGTAATGTTATCACATTTTACAGATCACAGAAAAAACACAAAACTAATTTCAGACTATCAATTAGAAATCAAATTGAACTCCTATATACTCTGATTTATTTCTCCTCTATACCACCTATTCCTCCTTTGAGCGCCACATACTCACTTTAAGTCTTTGGCAAAAGGAGTCTTAGTATAGAGTTACTTAGCTGATGTCCAGAAATAGACTTCAAGATGTCTATAAACTTCTTGAAATTATATGTAAAATTTTATGGGTTTCCCATTTTTCTGAAGATTCTCAAAGGGGTCAGTGACCCAAAAATGGAAAAGAAATACCTCCAAGAAACTAACTGCCAATAACCTCAGGAACAATGCTAATTCAAACCAAAATCTTACTTATTCATTAATTTTGGACCAAAGTTTAATGAATACCCGCAAGAAAGAGTAAACCTGAGAAGCAGCATTAGTTATAAAGTTATACTTTTAAGGCTGCCTTAAAAATAAGCTCATGGGTTTTTCAATGTGTTTAGCACCATCCTAAAATATCAATATAATCACTAACACTGCCCTCTTTCCTTCTACATTTATGAACTCACACAAGTCATTCCATTGCCTAAGAATACTCAAGAATATCAACAGTAACCTGGATAAATTATGTTCACAATTTTTGGCCTTCTGCTGTTCCTTAAAATTGGCTTTTTACCTCCCTAACTATAAACCCATTTGTAAACTTACATGAACTGGCTAAATAATTCTACTACCAACAAGCCACCAGTAATAACCTACTTCCACAATGTCCAAAGAAGGTACTATGAATAAACATGGTATAATCATTCTAAAAGATAACTTAGAAAGACGAACCCAGATCTTTTTAAAAACACATATCCTTTAAACCAGTAATTCTACTTCTGAATCCTTACGGAAATAATAAGATTTATTTACCAGGAAGTTCATTATGATTTTCCTCATAGGAAAATTTAGAAAACAACTCAAATGTTCAATCATGGGGAACAGATTAAATAAATTATGGTATAGACACATAAAATACTTTGCTAAAAATGATGAAGATATAGATAGATATAGAAAGATGACCAAAATCTATTGCTCAGTGAGAAAAATGGGTTAGAAAATAGTACAAATATGACCTCACTTTTGTTAAAAAGTATGTAAAAGAACGAGATATAACCAAACATTGTATGCCTTCTGATGGATAAACACACCACCTTCTATGAAATAGTCTCAAAACAACCCACAAAAAAACAATACCCAGAATCTAATCAAACCTCTACATTCAACTATAATATACAGAAAATAAAGAGGACAGGGGAACATTTTAAACATAACCATGGAGAAGCAAAGAGAAAAATTCTGAATCACTTTAAATGACAACACAGTTTCTTCTATAATTAAATTGTAAGGGAAAAAAGAGAGAGAGATGAAGAATCAGTAAATTTAAAAATATCTAAGACATATCAATCAACCGTAAATATGGTCAATCAATGGCAAATATGAACTTCATTTAAATCCTGACTCATCACAACGAAAATTATGAAAACAAAATTATAACATTTATGTGACAACTGAAATTTTGAACATTGCCTTGATGGATATTTGATATAAGGAACTTATTTTTTAGCTACTTTTAAAAAACAGTCCTTATCTTTTAGAGGTACATACTGAAATACATCTGGAATTTGTTTCAAAACAATATAGGATGAGGGCAGGTTAAATGCGTGGGGTATAGATGAAACGAGATTGGTCGTGAGGTGATAACTGTTGGAGCTGGATGACTGGTATTTAGAAGTTCATTATACTCTATAGAAAAATTTTAAATGTTTATGCATATAAATTTGCATACTTCTGGAAGAATATACACTAAATGACAATTACCTTTAGATGGCAGATTTCATGGGGGTTTTTGTTTAATTTTTCTTTATTCATTTTTATTCTCTAGTTTTTCTATAATGAACTTGTTTTAATTTCATATTTAAAATAGAAAGTGAAAAATAAAAATTTTAAATGCAAAAACTCACCAGTAATCTCACACTTTACAGAGCAAACATGAAGACTCTGACTCTTCTCACCTGATCTGTTTAGTATAGATGCTAGAATAATGGGAGCTATAAACTAAAGAGTTTAGCTTAAAGAAGAGAAAAATATCTTTTAAATGGTTCTCCTTACATTTTCCTAATTTAGACCAAATCATTTTGTAGCAGGTCAAACAAAGAAGTTAACCATATCCTACAAACAAATTTGTAATAACAATTCCAAAATTCACATGTTAACTGGACTCCTAAAGTATTCCTACCCACATTCTGTAACAACACTGTTGAGCTGTGATTCCTTAACACCCCCCTATTTTAGCCTTCTGTTCTAGCAGTGTTATCAAAAATGCTCTATAAAAAAAAATTAGACAACAGTGTCTTACCGGTGGCAAAGAATGCCTCCCACATTCAATTGTTACAAGTTTGTGGCACTTCTTATGAACCAGGAGTTTGCAGTTGATGCACTTATATCCCTGACGTCCAAGCCCCCATATTCGGTCAGTGCAGATGGCACAATGAGCACGCTGGAGAAAGTAATTCAACAGTATTTTATTAACAAAAAAAAGGTCATAATCATTTCCCAACAGTTTGCTCATAAAATAGTGAAAGTAAGTGGCTTTCTTCTCTAACTCAATTCCCTTCATCATACATAACTTTTCCAAAGCTATGATGGTCATGGGAAAATAAACAGAAAGGAAAGCTTGTTTTAAAGAGACTGAAATTTGCAACCATGTTGTTTCCTAAGTCCACGAATTTTCAGTCTTCACCTAATTAAGTTCAGAGTAATGACAATAGGAAAAGTGAATTAAACTTGAAAAACGCATAGCAGAAAAAGCTGTGCAAGGACTCCCAAGCAAACATAAACCTATCAGTCTGTTCAGAGGTCAAACCGAAGCCCTGCTCTCTTTTTTTTAAATTAATTTTTATTGGAGTATAGTTGCTTTACAATGTTGTGTTAGTTTCTACTGTACAGCAAAATGAATCAGCTATGCATATACATTCTTCCCCTCTTTTTTGGATTTCCTTCCCATTTAGGTCACCACTGCTCTTTTTTTTTTTTTTTTTTTGCGGTACGCGGGCCTCTCCCTGTTGTGGCTTCTCCCGTTGCAGAGCACAGGCTCCGGACGCACAGGCTCAGCGGCCATGGCTCACAGGCCCAGCCGCTCCGCGGCATGTGGGATCTTCGCGGACCGGGGCACGAACCCGCAGTCCCCTGCATCGGCAGGCAGACTCTCAACCACTGCGCCACCAGGGAAGCCCCACCACTGCTCTCTTAAAGAGCAACACCTAAAGTGACTTCTCACTTCAAAGCTTTTTAAATATCAGTGCTACTGGGAACAGGAATTTGGGAACCTCGGGTGGTAGCTTCTATTACATAAAGAATTGAGAACACGGCACGAGTTCTAGAATGGAAATGGATAACTGTAGTTATCAACAGTAGTTAAAAACACGGACTTCTGGAGACAGACTGATCTCCAACCTTGGCTCTGCCACTTACTAGCCGTGTCATCTTGGGCAAGTTATCTAACCATCCTGCACCTCAGTTTCTTCATCTATAAAATGGAAATATATGGTACCTCTCTCACAAGGTTGTTGCAGGGATTAAATGAGTCACTATATGGCAAGCATTCAGAAAAATGCCTGGTACATACTAAAAGCTAGATAAATGACTGCAATTCTCATTTTCTAAAACAGGGAAAACTAAAAAAAATTTACAACAGTAAATGGTTTGCAAAATAAACCTTGCTTATTTTCTGGCTGTCTTGAATTATATTAAAAAAAAAATCCAACTTTCTTACAGCTAGGGTAACCATATAACTAATCATCCAAGTTGGAACATTTTTATGAGTCAAAGGAGATGCTATTAAAAATTACCTCAAGATAACAGATGTACTACCCCTGGCAAACTGGGAATTTTAGGTCACCCTACTTACTCCTTTAGAAAGGAATAACAGTAGAGAGGAAAAACCCGGATTTCTCAAATTATCAATATTCAGCAAACTAAGGTTTACCCTGTTGAAACGCTTGGCTTGAAAAGTGTGGCCATTTGCACAATAAAGCTTTCTCCAGCGGCGTGCACCTCGGCGGTAGATGGATTCTGAAGAGAGATTAAAAGTTAAAAAAAAAAAAGGAAGAAAAAAAAAGAGCAAGTGTGAATATAAAGTCATTTTATAATTGTCTGTGATTTTTTTCATGATATTCATTGCAGGAAAAAAAAATATATTGATAAAAATCTGAAAGTGAAAAAATAAAAGTCATCAAGAGACTAGGCTTTTCTGTTTTTTAATTGTCCCCTAACTTTTAATTTTGAAAAAATGTTAAGCCCACAGAAAAGCTGAAAGAATAAACATCTCCATCCTTCACCTACATTTATCTATTACTATAATTTTGCCACATTTGCTTTCTTCTCTATTTACACATACACTTTTTTTTCTGAATCATTTAAAAATAAATTGCAGACATCATAACACTTCATCCTTAAATACCTAAGTATCCATTGCCTGAGATTAAGGACACTCCCCCTAATTCTATTTAACCACAATACCATTATTGTGTCTTAGGAAATTAACATTAACTAAATATCACCTAATATACACTTCATCTGCTAATTTCCCTATTTGCTTGAAAAGTGTCTTTCATAGTTTTCTTTTTCTCTCCAGGATCCAACCAAGATTCAGGCACTGAATTTCATTACTATACCTTTTTTGTCTCTTTAATGTATGCTAAAACATTCACTCTATCTTATTTGTTGTTGTTTGCTTTTTATGATGTTGAAACTGTCTAGGCAGATGTCTTACATCATGACCTACATTCTGGATTTGTCTGTTTCCTCATTAGACTCAAATCTATTATGGATTTGTAACACACTTCCCAGATAAAAAAAAGGATTCCCAGATAAAAAGTATTAAATACTTTTGGCAAAAATAATACACAGGTGATGTATATTTCTTACTGCATCTCATCAAGAAATGTACAAATGTGAGATTGTTGACTCCCACTACGTGTTCAATCACTCTGTTAAAGGCAGTGATGGCTAGTTTTCTTCTTTGTAAAGGTACGTTTTTGTAAATAACGTATAAGGGACATTTTGTAACCACAAGAATATTCTCTTCGCAACAACCTTTTATGCAATGGTTTTTATATTTTTTTATATCTTTAACTATTCTAAATACATTCCCTAAACAAAGAGGTTCCATGAGATCAAATCAAGTCCACCGGTGTAATTTTGGGTAAGTCAATCACTATTAAATATATTGTCTATTAGTCATCCCACAGTAATAGTAATCACTGTGGAAATTCCATTAGGTTTCTAAACTCATTTTATTTTTTTGGCTGAATCGCGTGGCTTGCAGGATCTTAGTTCCCGACCAGGGATTGAACCCATGCCCCCTGCAGTGGAAGCGCGGAGTCCTAACCGCTGGACCACCAGCGAATTCCCTCAAAACTCATTTTAAAGCAAATGTAACACTGGGTCTACTATTTAAAATTAAGATAGAAAGAAATGGGTGAAATACTCTGAATTAGAAATTCTGAGACAGCATAATATAGAACCTAAAATATATATGCTTTCATTTTTAATTATTTATTCTGTTAGGTGTAACCAAAGCAGAAAGTTTGTTAATATCTTAACCTAAAAGAACATCTTATTTCAGAAACTTTCATGAACTACAACTTGATATATCTTAAATTTAAACATGTTAATGTTGCCTAGGAATTAAAAGAGCCAAGGGATCACTTTAATGGTTATCAATTTTCCTCCATGCTCTAGTTTAGTAATATTAATTATACTGGAAAGGAGTGTGTAAAAATCCCCACCAGCAAATTTTAAAGTGGGAAAGTGAGCATGAAATACAGTGAAAAGGTAGGAAAAGACATTTTATCTGGCAAGTGTGCTACAGACCCATAACAGATTTGCAGATGGGACTCTGCAACCAAGATTTGCTATAATGGCAAGTCTTTCAAAACTCTAGCCTGGACAAAGACATTTCATCTGGCAAGTGTGCTACAGACCCATAACAGATTTGCAGATGGGACTCTGCAACCAAGATTTGCTATAATGGCAAGTCTTTCAAAACTCTGGCCTGGACAAAGGAGAGCTGCTTCTCCAACACCTCTGTGAAGGCAGCCCACACTGGCTGTAATCCATCTGCCACTGGAAACCCAATGAAATACTCCTAGCTGAATCCAAACCTAAATTTTTCACTATTGCTTCAGAGGCCTACCTACTCCTTATATTTCCCCATCTTCCTATAAAGTACATAGCCCTCATTCAACTCTATATACAAACACCCAGTTCTTTAATTTTTCCTTTTCACCAAGTTGCACGAAGAGTTACAGAATTAAAACTTTAGAGCTATTTCACTTAATACAAAGCAAAACATTTACTACTATTCCTTCTAAAGTCATGGATATGTACAGAAACCACAAATAAAAATGAGTTGCCTAATATCTACAACCTATAAATTATACCATACATTAAATTCAAATTTGGTATATATATGTATATATCAAATATATATACATATACACATATGTGTATATATATGTGAATATATACATATAAACATATTCAAATTCCATCAGACCAAATAGTTGCCTCTTTCAATTCATCTCATTAATGCTAACCACTAGCTTAGACATTCAAAAGAAAGTTTCATAACAATTCTTAAGGATGCACGCTAAAGTATTTAGAGGTAAAGTGTCGTGTCAGCTTACTCTCAAAGGGTACACAAAAAAATAAATAAAAATAAAACAAGGGCTTCCCTGGTGGCGCAGTGGTTGAGAATCTGCCCGCTAATGCAGGGGACATGGGTTCGAGCCCTGGTCTGGGAGGATTCCACATGCCGCGGAGCAACTAGGCCCGTGAGCCACAACTACTGAGCCTGCGTATCTGGAGCCTGTGCTCTGCAACAAGAGCGGCCGCGATAGTGAGAGGCCCGCGCACCGCGATGAAGAGTGGCCCCCACTTGCCACAACTAGAGAAAGCCCTCGCACAGAAACGAAGACCCAACACAGCAAAAATAAATAAATAAATTACGAAACTCCTACCCCCAACATCTTCTTTAAAAAAAATAAAAATAAAAATAAAACAAGTGTTTGTTATGTATACACATGTATGCATGTGTGTGCATAGATACAGAGATAAAGCAAACATAGAAAATGTTAATAATTGGTGAATCTTGGTAAAGATATATGGGTATCTTTGTTTTCAATGTTTCTATGTTTTTTCAACTTCTCCATAGGTTTGAAAATTTCCAAGATTAAAAAACAGGAAATGGGGACTTCCCTGGTGGCGCAGTGGTTAAGAATCCATCTGCCAATGCAGAGGACATGGGTTTGATCCCTGGTCCGGGAAGATCCCACATGCCACGGAGCAACTAAGCCCGTGCACCACAACTACTGAGCCTGTGCTCTAGAGCCCGTGAGCCACAACTACTGAGTCCACGTGCCACAACTACTGAAGCCCATGCGCCTGGAGCCCGTGCTCTGCAACAAGAGAAGCCACCGCAATGAGAAGCCCACACACCGCAACGAAGAGTAGCCCCTGCTCACTGCAACTAGAGAAAAGCCTGAGCACAGCAACAAAGACCCAACGCAGCCAAAAATAAATAAACTAACTTAAAAAGAAAAAAAAATTTGAAAGGAAAATTAAGTTGATTTTCCTTTCAAATGCACAACAGACAATTATGTCAGTAAGTTGTAATTAAAAACTGCCTCATTTTGGGACTTCCCTGGTGGCACAGTGGTTAAGACTCTGCATTCCCGATGCAGGGGGCTCGGGTTCAATCCCTGGTCAGGGAACCAGATCCCACACGCATGCCACTACTAAGAGTTTGCAGGCCACAACTAAGTAGCCCGTGAGATGCAACTAAGGAGCCTGCCTGCTGCAACTAAGACCCAGCACAACCAAATAAATAAATAAATAAATGTGTTTTTTTAATTAAAAAAAATAAAAACTGCCTCATTTCAATTTGGGAAAAGTAGAGACTTTAGGCAGTTTACTAATATACTCTAAATTAGACTGAAGAATGGAAAAGAAATCAAATGAATTAAAAGTTCTATTTCTGATTTCTCTTGTGCCACTGTATCATAAATAACTCTATTCAAAGGTATGAAGTATATAAACACTCACTATCTTCTCCTGGACAAGGCATTCCAGGACGTTCTGGTACACAAGGGAACACTGAAAAACAAGAAACTAAAATTAATACAGCATATTTAAAACATACAAATTACACAGAATTTTAAATTCAAATATCACATAAATTGATCTAAATTTAAACCTGACCTTCTCTTGACACAAGATACTTAACATATGGTCAGTACTATTTTTTGAAAGGATCCATTTTACCAAGGCTATAATAAAAGAAATTCTTATGAAAGCGAACATCCATAAACAATGCATTAGAAGCTCAAATTACTCATTCCAATCCCTATTACATCACTAATTGATTTTTTTTTTTGGTCATTAGAGAAATCATTAACTATTTCCTTAAATCCTCATTGTAGTGACAAATTTGCTAGGATGAAAAATTAAAATTACAAAGTGTATACAAATATAAACATAAGCCACTACAGTTTTTCTAAACTTAGGAATAAATTAACATTAAAAACAGTATCCAAATCCAAAAATGTAAGTTTTGTCTTAGGAGCTACAGATTTATAAAAATGCTAATTCAAAACATTTTTATAGAGATAGAATATAATGAAATCGTACATTTATAAACATCTAGTCAACTCTTTGTAGTCTGTGATGTACAAAAAAGGACACGGTTTTGAGCACAGAGTATGGGAAACACAGTTCCTGGAATATTTTTAGAAGTTGAAATATAAGCTAACTTCTGAAAACAGATCTCTGATATAGCATAAAAAGTAATAAAGCTTAAAACAAATAATTTCTTTGAACATTCACTGTAGCTTTATTCTAGACAGAGATGACCAAAGGAAGACTTCTAACATTCTTCCAGGATCTCAACAAATTAGAGTATGAATCCCATGGGAGTCACTATGTCAAATTCTGAAGGGAGACAAAAATCAAACTATTTTTTTAAAAAAAATCACACTGTAAAGGAAAGTACAAAGGAATAATAACAAGGTATTGAAATAAGTCATTACATTGAGGGGAGATTTATATTTGTTTCAAGTTGTAAAGAGTTCCCTAGGTCTAGTCTCCTAAGGCTCCCAAAAATGTTATGTGAAATACTGCCAATGTATTGCAATTATATTAAGCATATTAAGTGGATTCTACGTGACCTAAAAAATTTGAGAGGTAGCATGGCAGAATGAAAAGCACACAGATTTGGAAAGAGAATACCTAGATTTACAACCCAGGTTTACAATGTACCAGTTACATGATGGCTGAGTTTAGGTCTCTCCTTCTATACAACTACCCACCTCTCAGGCTTGCTGACCTTTAACACACTAATGTCTATGATTACTACATAAATAGTTTCACAGTTAACCCTTAAACAAAAGAAAGGACATTTAAGATATCTTACCTTTGGAAACCATCATTTGCATACATTACAAAACTGCAAGGGGATGACTTAGGTTCTACTGGGCTCTCAATTCTTAAATTCTATGCTAAAACTTTGCTGTAAAACACTGAGATGATCACAGTTTAATACCCAAGAAGGTATACACAAATAAGAAATTTCCTAAGATTATAAGAAGCTGATCGATTTTGTCTTCTCTAGCATTTGAGATACTACTGAACAAGGACAATTACATAGAAATGAGGGATACAGATTAAGAAAATGACATCAGGACCATGTTTTTAAATGGTGAAGGATACAGGGTTATGTTTTTAAAGAAGTATAGTTCTAGAAGAGTAGGAAATGACTACTCCTTTACCATGAATCAAGAGTTCAGAATCCTTGTTTAGCTCATAAAGCCTAAAGGCTTCTTCTAACTCCAACTGAGACGATACTGTACATGGGTCTCCTAAAAAATATAAAAAGGAAAAGTAAAGCTCACTTTTAAAATCCTCTACATATGACCAGTAAACAATTTCTACTACATAAAATCTTGAGGAAAAACAATTTCATACTTACAGAGAAATATTTGACAAGGACTAAACTTGAGATATTTATTTAGACAATTCTATTCTCTGAAGTAGGTAACATAACTCCCACTCCTATTTCTACAAAATATTACATGAGGTTCACAGATACCAAACTTTAAATGTATAAAACCATTTAATTCTTGATGATGTTTACATTCAAAATATAGCAGACAGAATCTACCCTGACCACATTTTAGATTGTCAGTGCAAAAAAAGTTATAACAAAGCTATCCACTGACTATTTATAGAAACTCTGTGTCTGGATTTCTTTTTCTTTCTTTCTTTTTTTTGATTGTCACTGCAACATGATTAATGGCCAGGGGTAAGTTTTCTGTTACCTGTTTCTTCAAAAGAGGAAGTGAAAGTGGTTTCATCACCACAATATGATCAGAGGAGGTCTCTATTTAATGATTTTGTCAAATTTCTCCTTCACCGGAGAGCCTGCTTAAGTGGCTCACAGAAAACAAGCACAGCTACTAAAGTACTCTGGACTAAAGAGCAATCCTACTTGATTGCTTTTAAGTGTAAATGCCTAGTTTAGTAAACTTACACACAGAGAGGACAAGGAAGAAACATCTCCCTTAGTCAACCAGCCAGTGAACTGAGTCATCCCTGGAAATCAATGAGATGGCAAGTCCCCCTGTACGATGGCATTCCTCAATGAAAAAGTCATTTCGAACACAGTTGGGCCTGAGCTGGGTCCTCAACGCTGCCATGCTTTTACTCATTCTTGTGGTTACTGGTTACACCAAGAGATGCCATCAACCCCGTCCAAGCTTCAGCCACTCTCAGCAGGGAACTCAGTCTACTGCTTCAGAGAGAAAAGTGAGGTCATTTCCTTTCCTGCTGACTCAAAGAGATGAGTGCCTCTGTTCTTTTCTCCAACTTGGCCACTGAGTCCCTCCTTTCCTTTATCTTCTCTGGGCATTATTCCACTAGTCCTCCCCAGTTCTATCTTCATTTTTTCTTTCCTTCCACTAGCTCTTCTCAGGCAAAGGCATGTTTGAGTCTCCCTCTCAAAAACCTCTCTCCTGCCCAGGGTGCCATTCATTCTGTAGCCACAAGTCTCAAGAGTAAACTACAGGCTGAAACGAGGGGGTGAGCAGGAAGAAATGGAAGAAAAAGGGACAGGGTCTTTGAATTTTGACTTCATACTTTTCTTTTGTATTTTTTAATTCATAGACTTATAATCTTTTAGACTTAATAGACATAGCTTTTCTTCCTATCAAGAGTGAACCCACATTGCTTTCTCCATGTTCCTATCTTCCAAGCATTTCTCAAAATTCTGCTATCAGGTTTTAGTCCAAACACTTCTAAAACTGCTACATCTAATGTCATGGAAGCAGCTGCTGAAATCAATGGCATGTTTTGTCTTTACTCTGGTTGACCTCGCTATACCATCGAACAAAGTTATCCACTGACTATTTGCAGAAATTTTGTGTCTGGGTTTCTAAACATCATTCTCCTGGTCTACCAACTCTTTTTTTTTTTTTCATTTTATTTATTTTTGGCTGCGTTGGGTCTTCAGTTGCTGCGCGGGCTTTCTCTAGTTGCGGTGAGTAGGGACTTCTCTTCGTTGTGGGCTTCTGCTTGCGGTGGCTTCTCTTGTTGCGGAGCACGGGCTCTAGGCGCACAGGCTTCAGTAGTCGTGGAGCGCGGGCTCAGTAGTTATGGCACGCGGGCTCTAGAGTGTGTAGGCTCAGTAGTTGTGGAGCATAGGCTTAGCTGCTCTGCGGCATCTCCTGGACCAGGGATCGAACTTGTGTCCCCTGCATTAGCAAGCGGAAGCTTATCCACTGTGCCGCCAGGGAAGTCCCCAACTCTTCTTTTAACTTTTTATTTTGGAAATTTTCAAACATATTACAAAATCCTGTTTCACCTGTGGATTCACTCACTTATCCTCCTCCACCATGTCATTCTGAGCAAATCCCTATAACACTAGATAAAAATTCCTTAACGTAATCATAATACCATTATAAACCTATATAAACTAACAAAAATTCACTATAAAATATCCAAACATAACCATATACAAAAGAATAAAGTTGAACCTTTATCTTATATAATAAATAAAAATGAAATCAAAATGGATCACAGACCTAAATGCAAGAGCTAAAACTACAAAACTCTTGGGGGAAAACACAGGGAGAAAGCTTCACGACATTGGGTTTGGCAACAATTTCTTGGATGTGACACCAAAAGCACATGTAAGAAAATAATAATACATTGGTCTACAACAAAATTAAAAACTTTTGTGTGTAAAAGGACACTATCAGCACAGTGAAAAGACAACCTATTGGAGGAAATATTTGCAAATGATACATCTGATAAGGGATTAACACTCAAAATATGTAAAGAATTCCTACAACTCTACGACGAAAATAAATAAATGAGCAAAGGATATTTCTCCAAAGAAGATATACAAATAGCCAATAAGCACATGAAAAGAGGTTCAACACCACTAATCATTAGGAAAATGCAAATCAATGAGATACCACTTCAAACCCATAAGATTTTGTAAAACACACACAAACATTCACAGACAATAACAAGTGTTGGCAAGGATGTGGAGAAACTGGAATCCTTGTGCATTGATGGTGGGAATGTACAATGATGCAGCAACCTCAAAAAATAAAACATATAATTACCATATTATCCAGCAATTCCACTTCTGGGTATACTTCCAAAGAACTAAAAGCAGAGGCTCCAACAGATATTTGTACACCCATGTTCACAGCAGCACTATTCACAACAGCCAAAAGGTAGAAGCAACCCAAGTGTCCAACAACAGATGAATGGATAAACAAAACATGGTATATACAGTTGGCCTTCCATATCTATAGGTTCTGAATCTGTGGATTCAATCAACCTCGGATCAAAAATATTTGAAAAAAAAATTCCAGAAAGTTCATAAAAAACTAAAACTAGAATTTGCCATGCACTGGCAACTATTTGCATAGCATTTACAATTTATTAGGTATTATAGGTAATCTATAGATGATTTAAAGGATATGGAAGAATATGCATAGGTTACATGCAAATACTACACCATTTTATTTAAGGGATTTGAGCATAACCAGATTTTGGTATCCCTGGGAGGCTCTAGAACCAATCTACTGGGGACACCAAGGGATGACTGTACATACAAAAGAAGTATTATTTAGTCTTAAAAAGGAAGTTGTATATAAACAGCTCATACAACTCAATATCAAAAAAACAAATAACCCAATAAAAAAATGGGCAGAAGGGACTTCCCTGGTGGCAGTGTTAAGAATCCGCCTGCCAATGCAGGGGACACAGGTTTGAGCCCTGGTCTGGGAAGATCCCACATGCTGCAGAGCAACTAAGCCCATGAGCCACAACTACTGAGCCTGCTCTCTAGACCCCATGGGCCACAACTACTGAGCCCGCGTGCCACACCTACTGAAGTCCACGCGCCTAGAGTCCACACTCCACAACAAGAGAAGCCACCCCAATGAGAAGCCTGTGCACCACAAAAAGTAGGCTCCACTCGCTGCAACTAGAGAAAGCCTGCACGCAGCAATGAAGACCCAACGCGGCCAAAAGTAAATAAATAAATAAATTTATATATTAAAAAAAAGTGGGGGGCTTCCCTGGTGGCACAGTGGTTGAGAGTCCGCCTGCCAATACAGGGGACATGGGTTCGTGCCCCGGTCTGGGAGGATCCCACATGCTGCAGAGTGGCTGAGCCCATGAGCCATGGCTGCTGGGCCTGCGCGTCCGGAGCCTGTGCTCCGCAACGGGAGGGGCCACAGCAGTGAGAGGCCCACGTACCACAAAAAAAAAAAGTGGGAAGAAGACCTAAACAGATGTTTCTCCAAAGAAGACATACTGTTGGCCAACAGGCACATGAAAAGATGCTCAGCATTGCTAATTATAAGGGAAGTGCAAATCAAAACTACAATGAGGTATCACCTCACACTAGTCAAAATGGCCATCATCAAAAAGTCTACAAACAATAAATGTTGGAGAGGGTGTGGAGAAAGGGGAACCCTCCTACACTGTTGGTAGGAATGTAAATTGGTGCAGCCACTATGGAAAACAGTATGGAGGTTCCTCAAAAAGCTAAAAATAGCATCATCATATGATCTAGCAATCCCACTCTTGGGCATATATCTAGAAAAGATGAAAACTCTAATTCAAAAAGATGTATGCACCCCAGTGCTCACTGCAGCACTATTCACAACAGCCAAGATATGGAAGCAACCTATGTGTCCATCAACAGAAGAATGGATAAAGAAGATGTGGTATATGTATATACAAAGGAATATTACTCAGCCATAAAAAAGAATGAAATAATGTCATTTGCAGCAACATAGATGGACGTAGAGGTTATCACACTAAGTGAAGTCAGACAGAGAAAGACAAATATATGATATCACTTATTTATGGAATCTAAAAAAATGATACAAATGAATTTATTTACAAAACAGAGACAGACTCACAGACATAGAAAACAATCTTACGAGGCTTTCCTGGTGGCGCAGTGGTTAAGAATCCACCTGCCAATGCAGGGGACACGGGCTCGACCCCTGGTCCGGGAGGATGCCACATGCCGCAGAGCAACCAAGCCTGTGCACCACAACTACTGAAGCCCGCATGCCTGGAGCCCATGTTCTGCAACGAGAAGCCACCAAAATGAGAAGCCCCCACACGGCAACGATGAGCAGCCCCCGCTCGCCACAACTAAGGAAAGCGCGCGTGGCAATGAACACCCAACGAAGCCAAAAAAAAAAAAAAGCAAAAAAGAAAACAATCTTATGGTTACCAAAGGGGAAAGGATGGGTGAGGGATACATTAGGAGTTTGGGATTCACAGATACACACTAGTATATATAAAATAGAAAAAAAAAGAGGAA